GTAGGCGATAATAATCAATAGAATGTAAAGGTAATAAATAAAATGTAATGTTACATAAAAATGTGGATTATCAGGATTATTGAGCCTTTAATAATCGATGATGAAACTCGGTACTCTGGTTAATCCAGGGAAACAACACTTTATAATAATCTGACTCAGACAAAAATGTAGTTTATAAAAATCTATTTATGACTATATTTATGATGAAAGGCTAATGATTATAAATGGTGACACAGTGATGTTAGATGAGACCATGAATGAACTGATGAAACCTGGTGTGTTTCTAAGTGACTCAGGAAGGTGTGATGTCTGGTTTATTAAATAATCTGGATGTTTGTTGGGTGTCATTTAACAAGTTATCAGATTAATACCAACCACTCTGACACCGTTGTTTAGTCTACACACCCTGGATCATGGAGCTCTGGAGATCCGGTCTGCAGGTGAAGCCATCTCTCAGGGCGAGTGAGTGGACTTGTGATGGATCTGAAGGTCGTAGACGCCCTCAGCATGGCGACAGGGTGACGTGGTATTTAAGTGCCTTAATAATAACACCACAAAGCTAGGCTAACGGAAGAATCAGGAGGCAGCTGTGCTCATTACCTGCATGTATTCCTGCTCCACAGAAAGCCCTGTGCTCTTGACTCATAAAAAGTTAAAGGCTTTCAAACGTCTTGAGGCCTACGCTACGATTATTTTTGGCTTAAGGAAAGTTGAGGAAATAGAAAGCAGTGATTGTGCATGGGACACCGCCACCTGCAACCTAAACTTGATCGGGTTATAGTTAGTTGGATTATTTACATACTTTATTTCATAGATGTGTTCATTCCTTTTTATATTTTTCAGTGTTTCTGCATCTCCAGGAGTTTCTGATGCCTGCTTTGTATCCTGCTTGTTACGCTTTTATTGCTCTGCTCCTATATGCTCCGTGAGCAGATTCCTCTTTTTATTTGTTCCAATGCATATTTGTCTGTTTTGCTCTCTGATCATTTACAAGAACTTGAACATGTTCTTAAACATTTACTTGCTAAAATAAAGGTTGAAAGAAAATCCAGCAGGTGGCGGTAATGACCCTAGATGCTGCTGTAGACGCTTTATTAGCAGCAGCAGAAGAAGAGACGCGCGGCGGATGTAAGCTAACGCCGTTAGCGTTAGCATCGCTGTGTTTGTGCTGGTTGGGAGGCGGTGTTGGGTGTGAGGTGAGTGTGGAGGCTCTGCAGCAACATGTCTTCAGCTCGGGCTCTCAGAGAGTTTATCAGCGAGCGGCTAACTGCTGCTGCTGGAGAAATATTCTCCGAGTTTGAAAGAACCATCGTCCGCTACGAGGAGGAGATCGATCGGCCGTTTTTGTTAGACATTTATTTACCAATACGATCTTAAGAGTCTTCGTTCCTGTCCAAGTCGAGCTGTAAACCTCCGATCAACTCACACAGAATAGGTACGGAACACGATACGGACTCATGGGTTTCAGGCTGATGGGTTCTTTATTTCCGATGCTGTATGACCGTGTGTGTGTGTGTGACACACGCCCGCCGTTAAAGCGGTCGGTTCTGGAGACGGGGTGCCCGGCGGAGCAGCCCGTGACGGCATGGTTTACATTTTTACACTTGGATGTCCTCACCATAGGCATTTGTTTTTAGTTGTAGTCTAATTAGTCGTCGAAACTGGTTTTAATTTTAGTCGACTAAACTAAATGTGTTTTTTTCTTCTGATGCTATAGTTTTCAGCTTCTGTAAAGAAAGTGTTAACTACAGACGAGGCTGAAGTTGGCCTCCCATTCAAGGAATGGCTAAAGGGGATCCAAAAGTGTTTAAATGAAGGCAGTGGGACTTCTTTGGTTTCCTTCTCCTCCAGGAGCTTCTCAATGCTGTCTGGAATATGGGAGAGTCAAGCTGTCTGTTGTTATTTAACGAGCAGAAACTACTCTTGAGTACCCCGCCTCTCTACTCCCATATTCCAGTGAGAATTTACAAACTTGACACACTTATTAAATGTTGTTTACAAATTTAGACGAATCAGAATTTGACAAGTTTTAAAGGCGTTACCAAAATACCCCAGAAATCACGCCTTCACTCAGATACTGAGGGGTTCATTTTCAGTGTGAAGGGAAAATGTTCTTACGTTTATGTGGAGCAAAAAGTGTGCTACGTGTAGAGATTGTGTGAATGGAGGTCAGCTGAAAGATGTAGATGTGGTAAACTACGTGTACTGAAAAAGGTGCAGAAACAAACAAAATAAACAAAACCCTATATTATGTGTAAGAGAAAAATGAAAGCTTGTGAAAGCATTTAACCAAATTAAAAATGGAAAAGCAAATTAATCAGTAGCTCATAGCTGACAAAAATATAGATTGAAATCAATTAACAACAATTAACCTGACAGTCACGTTTTTGGACTGTGGGAGGAAGCTGGAGTATCCAGAGTAGTGTTGTCAAAAAAATCGATACCCAGATATAAATCGATACTAAAAGTGGTATCTAAATGAGATATTCCATCCCTGTGGTATCGATATTATGGACTATTATACACAGCCTTCTTCAAGTACACCGACACGCACGACAGCCAGATGCCGTAAAGCAGCCTCCGCCTCCCAGACAAACAGAAGAAGAAGACGCCGCATGGCTACATTGTTATTTCCCACGCGAGTTGTCTCAGATCCAAGTTTTGTCTGCCAAATAAATAAACAAAAACATAAACAGCGAATTTGGGAGGCGCTTCACAGCCCAACTTAATTAGCATACCAAGTCCGACACGTAGTTGTATATTCACGCTTATGTGCTTAAAGGAAACTCCCGTTTATTGCAACCCGGACTTAATTTCTAGCATGCAGTACGTTTGTTTACTCACGCTGACAACTTTGGTGCTACTTGGATTCCCCGGGGTATTTAGATCCATCGGCGAATCGACGTCAGTGTATATCCATAGAACGGGTGCGGACGGGCACCCATGGTGCAGCCTCGAAATAAGACATTATCTGCACCAAAACATCTTCATGTCGAAAGGTTTTGTTAGGAATCATTAACGTGATTCCCCTGTTCGTTTGGAGCGGGTCTGGGATTTCTAGGCGTAAACAGACTAGCCGCAGCTAATCTAACTGGCGCTTTTAATGAGGTCATTGCCGTGCGCCAATCTGTTTTTATTAAGATTACTGGTAGATGTACCTTTTTCCTACTGTGGAGAAATTAGTTTTCTCCCTTTATTGACCAACAGAGTTGTTCAAAAGTACAGAACAAAACATATGGCATTACATCTTATGACAAAAATGCACCTTAAGCAGAGTTTAAGCAGCAAAACATCACTCTGCAAATAATGTATATATAGTGAGACAATTCATGATTTAAAGTGTTAACTTTCACCAGTTTTTGCATGCACGTTTTAAAAAATGCTGATACTTGAAAGGTTTAAGCACTTAATACACTTAATTCTTAACATTTAATTTTTGCAATATAAATTGAGGAATGTTATTTTTTGAATAAACTTGTCCAATAAATTGGTGTTTTCAAATAGTATCGAAATCGAGCATCGAGTTTTTTTTCAAGTATCGAATTGAGTTTGACATTTTAGTATCGTGACAACCCTAATCCAGAGAGAACCCACGCATGCACAGGGAGAACATGCCCTTGCAGAAAGACCCCGGGCCGGGTATGAACCCAGGACCTTCTTGCTGCAAGGCAACAGCTCTAACCACTGTGCAGCCCTCTGATAATCCTAGTTCAAATTTAATTCAAATTATTTCAGTAATATAAACGGTTGTGGACAAAAAAATGTCATTTCACATTCATGCCTGGACCCTACAGCCCAGCAGGAGCCCAGGAAAAGCCTCAGGAGCATTGTGGGTGTAATGTAAATGTGTCCAGCTCTGTGTTCTTGCTCCGTTCTCTGAGGACTCAGTGCTTTCAAAACATCTTGAGATGCATCAGGTGAATAAAGTAGAGTTAGCTTTATTATGGTCGTATTAATAGTTTTCATTTGTGTGTTTGTCATTCCAGAACCAGCACAGGGTTGTCACAGAACGGAGGAGGTTCTGACTGGCCAGCATAGAGGACACCAGGAGATAAGACTAGAACATTATTGATCCTCCTTGGGGAAGTTGGCTTGCCACATCTGTGGCTTCAGTTAAAAGCAGTGAAAACAGATAAAAAAGTAGATTAAACATAAAGTGTAAATTCCAGAAAATGTGAACATCCAGCTGAAAAAGAATTACACAGGGAAGGGAAGTGGCTTCTTGTGTAAATGAAGGGTTTTGGGTAAATCAGGCGTAGAGAAGGAAGGACAGGAAATCCAGTTTGGACCAGGAACAACCAGAACCTCTACAGATGAAAAAGGACCAGCAGGAACACAAACTTCAACCAGAAGAACCAGAAGTTAGACTGATGTTACGGGAGCGGGAGGAACCAGAACCTCAGAAAACTAAAGAGGAACAAGGGGAACCCAAGATTCAAGGTGACGAGCAGCTTGTACTAAAGCAGGAGACTGGGATCTCCGTGGTGACTCCTGCATATGAGGAGACCTCCCTAGGTGACCCAGAACTGAAGACTGAACAAATCCCCTCCCCTAACCAGGAGCAGGAAGGAAGCAGGAATGAAGACTCAGGATTAAGAAAAGATGAAGAGCTGAGACGAAATCAGAGATTTTTACTAACCAGAGATGATGCAGATGGTCCAGAACTAAAAACAGGCCCGAATGTCACAGGTAGGAAGCTGTCTTCTGGTGGAATGGGTTTCACATTTAACCAGATGAGTGGACTGAGAACTCATTCTCATTTCCAACAAGGATCTGGCCGAGAGCCAGCAGCAGACACGTCGTTAGCCTTACGCCAGAGAACAACAGATGGGATAGAGGGGATTCCTGCGTTCTACTGGAAAAAAGAAAACTTGTGAGATCGAGACACGTTCTGCTGAAGTGCAAAAGAACCAAAATAAGTGTCAGAGTTTATCAACGCGGTCGAGTTCCTGTCAGGAATAATCAATCAATCAATCAAAGATACTTTGTTAATCCCAGAGGAAAATTAGAGTTTCAGTACACGCAATTCAGAATACCTAAAAGCTTTCATCTGATGAATCGTAGCGTAACGGGTTCTCGTTCACATTTAAGGAGTCCTTCTGGATGGACTTTGTTTATGTGGAAATGTCTGACTGCAGCCTCTTAGCTGTCATTCAGTCTGGTTACCATGGCAACGCGTGTGTGATCGGGGAGCAGAGGAGGTTCTGGTAGTTGTAAACTAGAACATGGACCTGAATCGGATCTGTGCGGTTCATCTGTCGCTCCACAGAGGATCCCAAATCCCAGCACAGCTCCAGCCGGATCTGCTGTCAGCGCGCTCCCGGAGACGCGTTTCCTCCAGAGGGGAGCTGGCAGATCCTTCATAATAATACAGAAACGCTCTTTTGTCTAAAGCGTCTCCAGCAGAACCACGAGGAGCTTCACGAGGACAAAATATCACGTAATAAAATTAGATTAAAATAATATTACGTGGTTAAAAAGAGGAAACACGTAAAAATGGGAAGAGTAATAATTGTCGTTACAAAAACATGAAAGCCGTTCTACAAAGTCAGATTCCCGTCGGGTGTTTCAGCACCAGTCATGTGACTCAGCTGTTGTTCCACCATAATATTTATTTCATGAGTAAAATAATGAGTGGATGAGGAACGTGTGTGGATGACTGAGACCTTTGGTGTTGCGGTTCCCCGTTCTACCCAAGCCCCCACAATGCGGGTCAAAAATTGAAGCAAACGTGGAAATGAAATAAACTGCAGTTCCACCCTCATCCACTAGGGGCTGGAGTCAGAAGCGAGCAAATCCTCATTGACTCCCATGTTAAAAATACCAATTTCACAGCAGAAATAAACATGTTTACAGCCTGGTACCAGAACATGTTTTAGGTTTAAATGATCTAGTTTACACTCATGACAACTCTGAGGGGGTGAATGTTTTTCTCACTCTTCTGTTTAAGTGTATTAAAAGCCTAAAATTCTGTATAATTAATGAGCATCAGACCCACGTGACCACAGAGCTAGCTCCGGGGAAAGACCTCAGTAGAGCCTCGGTCTGGCCTGGAAACTGTTCCGGGATTTTGAGGCTCTGTGTTTGTGTATTCTTGTTTGGATATTATTTGTGCAATTGTTGGACAAAATGACTTGCTGTGGCATTAATTGCACTAATAGAGCGTCCAAGGAGTCTCCACTTCATTTATTTCGGTAAGTAAAATAATATTTATGTATTTTAGGTCACTGCCGAGCTGAGCTTAGATGTTAACATGTACTGTTTAACCATGAAATTTAAATGTAATAGGGTAAAACCCAGTGCATTTAACATAATGCTGCACTTTAGAAAATGGGTTGAAATATAACATGTTGGTGGAGCTGGGTTCCCACTATCGGCTTGTGGAGCTCTCGGGAGACCAATGTTTTCCACCCGGTTCTCCCCTCCCCGCAGCTCGGCGCACCTCTGTCTGATCGCGGCTTCTGTCTGCTGCGCGGGCCGACGGCTTGTGGAGGTCTGGGATGGAAACCTTTCCACCCGGTTCTCCCCAGCGGCAGCTCTGCGCATCTCAGATCGCAGCGGCGCTTGTCTGCCGGCTTGTGGAGCTCTCGGAGACCTCTGTGTTCCACCCGGTTTTACCCAGCGGTCAGCCCGGCGTATCTCTGACTCAGAAGCTCTGGTGTTGTGCACAGTTAACTCCGGTTGTAGCTAGGTTGCTACCTCCGTTAGCTTAGCTCTCACCTCTGCGTTAGCTTTGGGTTAGCTTCAGGTTAGCTTGTAGCTAGTTCGACCGGGTGTCATCAGTTGATCCCAGCCTTACAGCCCCACCCTCAGCTCCGCCTCTCTTCCCTTTTGTGGAATTGTCTGGGCTTGACGGAACCTGTGACACGGTCAAAATGGCGGTGGTGGCCACGTCCCATTTTTCTTCCAAAACGTGTTATTGGAGCCTATGGAAACCCATTGTCCTTATATGTATATGTCGCTGGTTCTACCTCTAGATGCTGTTCCGACGCATGGTCTGAACTTTCCGGATGTTTAGGAACGTTTCCACACACAGGTACAACATGAGGAATACCACACGGTGTGTACGTTAGCTCCTACGCACCACATACGCTCAGATCTGTGAGTAAGTACTGTTAATAAATGAGGCCTCTGGTCATTCAGTATATTCAGGTAGTCAGCTGACCTCATTCTTGGAACACATCCTGTTGCTGAACCTAGACGTGACCAGTTGCAGCAAGCCCAGATCATAGCACTGCCACCACAGGCTTGTACAGTAGGCACTAGGCATGATGGGTGCATCACCTCATCTACCTCTCTTCTTACCCTGATGCACCATAACTGTGGAACAGGGTCTATCTGGACTCATCAGACCAGTTTTAATAAAGTGTTGGAGAGTTCTGAACCCAGTTTCTGCATCTCCTTAGGTGTTTGTTTCTGCTTGATGCATGCCAATGACCCTTCTCACACAGACTAACATCTTTTCCATGACCACCAGGTGTGTCTTTCCACCTGGTTGTTTAAGAAATGAGAAGCAGCTCATTGAACTAGTTGGGTTAAATGACTTGTTGCAGCTGAAAGATGATCACTGTAGGATGTAACATGTTTATGCATTTGGGTGCTTCTAAAGCTTGATATACTACCCTACACTTTGACCGATGTGATGTGAATTTCCATATAAATATGGAAATCCAGTCTGATTGGTCTTTGAATGTTTAACCAGAAGATTCAGAATTCTTTGTTTATTCAGGGATTTTAAAACACTTCATATTAATTCAAGAAGAGAGTCAGGTTTATAAAAAGTAAGAAATGTATTTTCTAAACAATTAAAAACATGACAACAAGGACAATTTATGTGATGAATGGATCTGTGTGGATGGAACGTGAGGTGTGATGATGTGTGAATGTGATCTTATCAGAACCTTCGTATCTGAAGAAACTGAGTTCTGAGTGGGAGTGAATTTGGTCTGCATTAAACTAACAAAGTTGGTTCTTATCAAAAACACATTCGACTCAGTCTGTCGAGTCTATGTACCCTGCTCGAATACCCCCGTGGTAGATCCGGAATGTGTTGAGGTCCGGGGATCCCAGAGTAGGGGTGGGCAATATAAACGATATACGGTAGAAACTATATAAAATTGGGTAATGATAGAGTTTTTGGCTATATCGCAATACCGCGACATCGCGATAACACATGACGTCACTAAGATGTGCACCCTGCTGACATCGGGGCAACAGAATGGCAGTGACTGCAAGCGTGGAGTGAACCGGGGAGGAGACCTATATGCCTCAAGTGGCATATAAATGATATACATGAGGATATTTAAAAGCATGTCATTTTGACATATATAAACAGAGGAAAAAATATATCACAGTAGCTCAACAGGTAGAGCGGGTTGTCCAGTAATCGGAAGGTTGCAGGTTCGATCCCGGCTCCGGACAGAGAATTCTGCTGTTGTGTCCTTGGGCAAGACACTTAACCCACGTTGCCTGCTGGTGGTGGTCGGAGGGACCGGTGGCGCCAGTGCTCGGCAGCCTCGCCTCTGTCAGTGCGCCCCAGGGCAGCTGTGGCTACATCGTAGCTCATCCCCACCAGTGTGTGAATGTGTGTGTGAATGGATGAATGATGCACTGTAGTGTAAAGCACTTTGGAGTCCTTACTCTGAGAGGCGCTGTACAAGTGCGGGTCATTTATCATTATCGTTACTGCACATGCTTCAGATTATATCGCAATATAGATTTGAGGCCATATCGCCCAGCCCTACCCCAGAGGTACCGAAGTCCGTAGAAGAAACCGCAGTGCCGACTAGACCGGTCTCGAGATGTCTTCAGGTCACGACAGTTGTTATTTGTGTCTTAGGAATAACTCTTAAGGAGTTCAAGTTGGTTCAGCTTTATTATGAAGGAACCGTTTGCGGTCAGCTGTAGCGTGCAACAGACTTTTGACAGCTTGTCAAAAGGTGCTCTGCGTTAAAGAGGTTTTGCTTCGGATGGCCGGTCCAAAGCTTTCTCAAGAACTCACAAGAACTAGAACTGACTCACGGTGAAGTGAGTCCTATTTTAATAATCATCATATTTATAAATAGATAAAAATGGTTGGATAGCTTGTTTGGAAGTTATTATGAATGGTGGTTGTGAGTGGTTTTGAGTTAATCAGTGCTGTATGGGAGGGGAGGGGGGGTTATTTGGGTATTTTGTTTTTGTTTGTATGTAAAAATTTGGAAAACTTAATAAAAAAACTTGAATAATAAAAAAAAATAAAATCGTCATATTTTTATTTACTAACAAATCAGAATTTGACATGTAAAAATGGTTTTACCAACAAACCTCAGAAAACACGCCTCGCGTCAGATACAGGAGTTCTGATTGGTGGAACAGAAAGCAGTGCATCAGGATATTAGCTTAGCCTTGTCATCATCACGTGTCTGAGTGTGTGAGCTGTCAGTAGATAGTGATTCACTTGTTAAGTCCAAAATTACTGATCATAACATATTAATATTCATTTCAACCTCAGTAATTTAAACACAGATTAATCAAAACATTGTTATTATTCTTCAACCATTGTTGTTCATTCAACCATGTGATTATTTACCCATCCTGTTCATTATATGATTTAATCTTGAAAGTTCATCCGTCTTGTGCTGTGAATAAAAACCAGTCTTAGATAAGAGTGAGCTTGGAGAGACCTTGGTGAAGCAACAGTATCTTTCTTGCAGATTAAAGCACCAGTTAAGACTTACGTCTCCAAATGACCCGATACTGAAGAGGTGAATGAGACGTGAGATGAATGGTGTGTGTGTGAGTGATGTTGTCATCAGAACTCTCGTATCCGGAGAAGCAAGTCTGAGTGGGAAGTGATGTTTTGCTCTTAAGCTATGATCGGAGTTTCATAAACACACGAGACGCCATGTTGTCGCTCCACACATACCCTTCAGGACGAGACCTCCGTACAGATCCAGACTGCCAGGTCCTCTGACCCCCCTTTCGGTACCGGAGCCGATGAAACAGCGTCAGCAGTACGACAGACTAGTCTTTGGATTGTCTCCAGGTAAAAAGCGACAGTTGGTTGACAGCGTCAGATGGACCCAGAGGGTCAGTGAGTTCAGCTTTTATTCTGAAAGGAACCGTTGCTTGGTTGGTAAAATGCAACAGATTTCATCCAGCTTGTTGGTTCTTTGCTTAAAAGGAAGTCCGGGTGGCCGGTCCGATACTTCTCTTAGAATGCGGTGAACTGAACTAAGATGGCGTGGGGACTGGTTTTATTAATCTGGATGTTTTGATTTATAGACGAATCACAGTTGGCAGATTTATAAACACCACAGAGACTATGCCACGCTTCAGAAAGGAAGGTTCTGATTGGATGAGAAAGATAAAATGTGTCATGCTTTTACATTACATGTGATCAGGGTGTCTAGTGCAGCTAAAGTCATATTACTTATTAAACTTACTAATCATACCATTGTCATTTCACAGATTGGTTCACATCTTATTATTGACTAACACTTTGTTTGATTAGCTTTATTAAAGAAAGAGTCCTTTGTCTTCATTCTTCTCTTGGGCTGGAAAGGAGAAACAGTTAAGAAGCAGATGCATGAGACCTTGAGGCCATATCTCATGCAGATTAGTTCTTGCTGAGGAGAGGGGGAAATGACTTCTAGGTGGAAAACAGTCATTTCATTCTGTTACAGTGATTTCCCTGTCACTGAGGGGTTTCTATCAAGACGCAGTGGACTCCCAAAACTGTATATTTCGCCTTGAGTTTGTGGCTCTTGTTCCATCAGCCATGTCTCTGTCAGAGCACTCAGGCATTCTTATATTCCATGAGGAAACTGACGTTTGCCTGTAGATTTTCCACTTATTCTGGAGGGACTGTACATCGGCAAGGATGGTTGAAGGCAGATGCATCCTCCTGTGGCCTTGTCTTTTAAGTCGCACATTCCTAACCCTGAAATTTTATTACCTGAAGTTAAGTTATGGCAGATAATCTCTGGGGAAAAGCAAATCCAGCGTTGATCACTAGGGCTGTCACGGTAACCGCAAAAATGAAATATCGCGATATGAAGAAGCCCACCGCGCTGCATCATGCGCCACCGCGATTACTGAACGTGATTCAACTCAATGATGCATGTTGAGAAGGATGGCTGCACTGGTATCAAAACGAAACGTTACTTCGCTCCTTTGGGAGCACTTTGGTTTTCAGTACGTCAGCTGCTGCGCAGCCAGAGTCCTTGGCCGAGACAGAGCTGCCACCAGCGGCAAAAATAAATAAATAAATGCTCGGAGACCTGCTGAAGTCCCGGACAAGCACTGCTTCTGCAGCCGTCCCGAACAGAGTTTGAGCCGAGCTGGAGCTCACTCGCTACCTGCAGGAGGAATGCATCCACCCTAAAGAAACCCCCCTGACATGGTGGAGCAACAACCGGGAGAGATTCTCTTTGCTTTCACGCAAGTACGTGTGCGTTAGTGCAACGAGCGCACCATCCGAGAGGGTTTTCAGTGTTGCTGGAAATGTTGTCACCCCTCTCAGATCCTCTCTCAAACCGTATATGGTTAACATGCTGGTTTTCCTTGTAGGTAACAAGGACGTGACCGAGCTATAAATCACCGTCATTCGTGTGTGTGAAAGTGAAATGATAGTGCGCCCGGTACATGTAATTATTTATGCTTGATTTTAAACAACTAAACAAAATGGGGACTTGTTTCTTATTTGTTAGATGCTGCAGCCAAATTTGCATTTAAAAGTTTAACCTTCTCCTGAATGTTGTTGTTTTTAAGTTCAGTCGGACTCCGACTGTCGGAGAAACAAGCGTTACTGCGATCTGTGTTGTTACTGCCCTTTGATCTGCATTCAGTAAAGTGTTAGAAAAGAAGGCACGGCAATTTTTAACCTTTTTTAAATGTGTAAACATTATGTTTAGATAGTACTGCAATAAAAAAGGGCTGCAATAATATCGCACACCGCAATATTAAGCCACCCTGAATCACCGCAGGGGGAATTCCTCAACCGCGACAGCCCTATTGATCACACCTGTTCCTGCATTCCAGAGTTGTAGGAGAAACTCCTTGTCGTACTGGAGTGAGTTGGGATGTGCACAGTGAATGTCCCCATGGTGGGATCAGTAAAGTCTGTTCTGTTCTAATCAAGTCAAACCCAAAAACCGCCACTCCTGTCCAACAACTTCCACACACTCACATGCTCTTTGTTGCTCTTGATGCTGCATGTTGTCCTGACCTGCACCACCAGCATCATTAAGAGTTTAATGCTTTCAGAATCATCTTGGATGTGTCGGGTGACTGAAATGCAGCGTAAGCTCTCTTTGTCAAATTAAAAAGCATTTTCTTTTTTCTGTCCAGAACTTCCACAGCGCTGTGTCTGGAAGGAGGTTCTGTCGGACCAGCTGCTCTGTAACGAGGACAGGAACTTCAGTTTGGACCAGAAAAAACGAGAACCTCCACAGATTAAGGAGGAAGGGGAGGAACACTGCATCAGTAGTGATGGACAGCAGCTGGTTTGGAAGCAGGAGACTGAAACCTGTATGGTGACCCCCAATGTTGGGAAAAGTCACCACTGTGAACAAAAACCACACTGGGACCAACTCCTCTTCAAGAACTCTCCAGAAGCTGAGAACCAAGATGAGAAAGAAAGCTGGACTGAAGAACCAAGACCAGACAGAGAAGAAGTCCAAAAACAAAATCCTCAAATCAAAGATCCCAGAGACGATGCAGATGGTCCAAAATTGAGAAGGCCCAACAAAGCTCTGGCAGATGAGAAGCCGGTGTCATGTCAGACATGTGGGAAAAGTTTTAGTCAGAAAGGTAGTTTAAGTTATCACATGAGAACTCACACAGGTGAGAAACCGTACGCGTGTGACATGTGTGGTAAGTGTTTCTTTTATAGCTGCCACTTGACTCAACACATGAGAACTCACACCGGAGAGAAGCCCTTCTCCTGCCACATCTGTGGGAAGAGTTACAATTACAGAAACGTTTTGATTACCCACCTGAGAACTCACACAGGTGAGAAGCCGTATCCATGTACGTTTTGTGGAAAATGTTTCCATCAAAGCGGTTCGCTAACGCATCACATGAGAATTCATACAGGTGAGAAGCCTTTCTCGTGTCTAACCTGTGGGAGAAGCTTTACTTATAAAAATGTTTTGGTTAAACACATTAAAACTCACACAGGTGAGAAGCCTTTCTCGTGTCACACCTGTGGAAAAAGCTTCATTCAGAAAGTGCATCTAAGATCTCACCTGAGAACTCACGAGTGAGACGCGGGAACCTTAACGTGCTCAATTATTACTGATTCTGATGGGTCACTGATTTTAATATGCAGGCTGAACATGAAGATAGTCTCCTACACCGATCTCCTGCATAAGTTTCTGATAGAAAATAGACGGTGAAACTCTAGGATTAGAAAATCCTGACAGATCTACGTCACCCTGTCACTTAACAGTCGTGGAGTCACCCATCTGGACTCATGGCAGGGAAGGCTGAGACAACGACTCACAAGGCATCCATTCCTAATAAAGACCACTGCAGATGTATTAAACATATTTGACCTTTAAAACTCGGTTCAGGGGTTATTCCAGAAAGCGAGTTTAGAACATCGGGACTTTCCTGATAGATCCCTGCTTGACAAAGCACTCCCCATCCCTCCAAGCATGAACGATTTTTAGGTAGATTCAGTCCCCTATAATTCAAGCGGGGCTCATGCGCGTCCGTAGGCAGCCCCGTCAATCGTTGATGGATGAATGAGAGTGGAAGGAAAGGACAGAGCCTCGTTCTTCTTCCAGAGGACTACAAAGATATCAAAACTAAATGAGAGACCACTAGTTGTTTGATTAAAGCTGTGTAGCTGAAGCTATTTAGTTAGAACACTCAGAGTTTACATGTTCCCATGGCAACGCTGGGAGTCTGCTTCAGCTCTGTTTCTCCATGTTTTATTCAAGTTTTCATCGTTTACGTGTCGTTTTCATGTTTGGATCCAGAATCTGGGTGTTCAGACTGGAGGACTGTTTTTGCTGAGCAGCTCCGAGTTTCATGATTAAACTTTTGTGGTGGTCACATGACCCTAAAGTTAATGCAGTAAATCGTCTGTCACAAATATTCAGCTCTCATATGTCACACCAAGGTAAAAACATCACGGATGTCATTTAGAACAAATATTACCGTGTTTGCCGCGTATGACCAGAGTACAAGCTGTTAAAATTAATAGTTGCATCAGTAAAGTGTTTCCTTTTACATTTGTAGTATGTTAGCAGCTGTAAGGTACTTGAAAGCTATTTTAACATATTCACTACGAGAACAGCATGGTAATGATATGGGTCCATCCCAGACAAAAGCTGATATATAATTATACTTTCTTTTATGTTCTATTGACAATTTAAATAAAAGTTACCACTTACAAAGTTACATAAATGGCAAGCCAAGTCAACGCTTTGCTAATCATTTGAAATTTTAAAATCTCTTTGCTGAGTTGAAACAAAGGAGGCCTCCCTTCTCTTCACGAGCGCTGACTCGTGCCATTCCAGCTCGTCTAAAACTGTTAAAGCTGTCATATTGTCTTGGTTGTAAAAGTGAAAGCTTGCGTGCTATTTTTATTGTTGTTTGTCTTTATTTGTGTTCATGCTTGTGGTAACCTGGGTCGGGGATGCTTACGTTAACCGAAAAGCGGCACCACACAGCTACACCAGCTGACGCCATTACACAACCCCACTTCCCCCCAAAACCCTCAGTATGTAGGTGCAGCTTCAAATTGGAAGTAGGCACCGGCACTCGGGTGAGGCTGAGAGATCCCCCCCAGGTGCCATTGTGTGTGCTCATCCCCAAGGTCCTACGTTTGCTTTTGTGTGGAATATCATTGGTAGAGGGGTTTAATGTGCTATTTAAAATTGGGGAGCAGTCCACCACAGGACTGCGGAAATGGTAACTATACCCACACCCCATGACTTACCCACACCCCAAGGCCCTGAGCTGGTTGAAATAATATTTATTTGTTCGATAGGTCAGTGTCTGGGAGTTTTGGTGACTTTTGTTCCAAGGAGCCCTCCTTAACTCATTCACTGCCATTGACGACTAAAGTCTTCTTTTGCATGTTTTTACTGTGTGGGCATCGGAACGAGCCCCCGCACCGTGAGAACAAACTCTCATAATGGTCTTTATATTGGTGTGAGTCAAGATTGTCTCTCAAGACTGCAGTTGGTGCAGAATGCATTTATTTAGTCTGGCCACGCTCCACTGACAGCTCTCGGTTGTGGGGCGGGTTCTGCCGTTGTCTTTCAAATGATCTCCGCATTCCACTGGACAATGAATGTGACATACTCTTGTTTCACTCTGTTGCATCATCCCACCCACCAGGCATATAGAGTGCCCTGATTGGCCCACAAAGCGGATAAAGCTCTGTGATTTGTTCTCTAAGCAGATAGAGCACTATGATTGGCCCACCATTATGGACCAATCACAGCTATTAATGTGTTTGAAACCCCTCTAGAGAGCTGTGATTGGCTAGCCAGAATGCTGGTAGGAGCTGCTGAGGTTCCAGTGGAGCGTTCCTAGAGCAAACTTTGCAAAGCAAGAATTTGGTCTAGTTCACTAGGCTTGAATGCTGCAGCATGTTTGCTAACAGGCACCTGTAGATGTGATGACATCACCCTGTGCTAGCGTCTACACTGGATTCCAGCTGTTTCTATTATTTGTTTTAAGAATCTCATGCTGACATAAATCTTTATATGGGCTGGAACCATCATAACTCTCAGACACACTCCTGCCGTACGATCCACCATTCCTACTGAGGTCGGCTGACCAGCGGCAGTTGGTTCCGAGGGCGAGGCTGAGGTGGCGAGGCGATAGGTCTTTTTCTGTGGCTGCTTTGGAAACTGCCGGCCAACAATATCAGCAGAGTCCCATTCCTGCATTTGATCAAGTTCCAGACCACATAAGACACCCAGGTGAAGTTGGGTTCTCCCCATCCCAGATATCCGCCTGCCCTGTGATGGAACAGAAGTGTTAATGCTAGTTCAGGAGGAACCAAGGCCCCCAGGCCAGGGCCAGGCGCCGCCATATACCCCCACCCTCTTGCCAGCAGCATACAAGCCAGAATCCAATCCCCCAGGCCCAGCCCAGATCCCCATCCAAGGATGACCGCCCCAACACCCCAGAGGGAAGGTGTTAAAATAAAACTTGTTACTGTTTGTTGTGTAAAGGGCCCGACTTTTCTCAAGTGTTAAAAACAACTTTTTGACTGTACTGCCCCTCTTCCTTTCACGTAGTTAGTAGTTTTCCCATGGTGTGATGGAACTGATCAAAGGAGTCCAGTGAGATTGAACTGGGTTCCTTATATAGGAAACATTATTTCTGATTGGCTTAATGAACTGACCTGTATTGGAATGTTTATTATGTGAAGTGCCTTGAGACGACTCTTGTCGTGATTTGGCGCTTTATAAATAAAGTTGAACTGAATTAAAAGTTAAGTGTGACAACAGCATCTCATCACTGGTCTTCTGTTGCAAAAATAACCACAATAAATATTAGATTTCTGTGCAAGTTGAACTTAAAACGAGTTTAGATAAACTAATCACTGATTTATCTGTAGATAAAAGTCATTTTCATGCAGTTTTACTATAAGGTATTTTTAAAAACAAAAATGTATTCAGGTCACATTCTGTTAGCAGCATCAAGCAGTTTAACAGAAGGTTTTCGAAAATGATGATGAGGTGACAGACTTCTGTTTAAAAATGACTCGAGTGTGAAGGCACGAGTTGTCCCCAATGAGAGGCGCCGAGCAGGGGTGGGCATTCGTCTGTAACGATCTGTAGGCGATAATAATATATAGAATGTAAAGGTAATAAATAAAATGTAATGTTACATAAAAATGTGGATTATCAGGATTATTGAGCCTTTAATAATCGATGATGAAACTCGGTACTCTGGTTAATCCAGGGAAACAACACTTTATAATAATCTGACACAGACAAAAATGTAGTTTATAAAATCTATTTATGACTATATTAATGATGAAAGGCTAATGATTATAAATGGTGACACAGTGATGTTAGATGACACCATGAATGAACTGATGAAACCTGGTGTGTTTCTAAGTGACTCAGGAAGGTGTGATGTCTGGTTTATTAAATAATCTGGATGTTTGTTGGGTGTAATTTAACAAGTTATCAGATTAATACCAACCACTCTGACACCGTTGTTTAGTCTACACACCCTGGATCATGGAGCTCTGGAGATCCGGTCTGCAGGTGAAGCCATCTCTCAGGGCGAGTGAGTGGACTTGTGATGGATCTGAAGGTCGTAGACGCCCTCAGCATGGCGACAGGGTGACGTGGTATTTAAGTGCCTTAATAATAACACCACAAAGCTAGGCTAACGGAAGAATCAGGAGGCAGCTGTGCTCATTACCTGCATGTATTCCTGCTCCACAGAAAGCCCTGTGCTCTTGACTCATAAAAAGTTAAAGGCTTTCAAACGTCTTGAGGCCTACGCTACGATTATTTTTGGCTTAAGGAAAGTTGAGGAAATAGAAAGCAGTGATTGTGCATGGGACACCGCCACCTGCAACCTAAACTTGATCGGGTTATAGTTAGTTGGATTATTTACATACTTTATTTCATAGATGTGTTCATTCCTTTTTATATTTATCAGTGTTTCTGCATCTCCAGGAGTTTCTGATGCCTGCTTTGTATCCTGCTTGTTACGCTTTTATTGCTCTGCTCCTATATGCTCCGTGAGCAGATTCCTCTTTTTATTTGTTCCAATGCATATTTGTCTGTTTTGCTCTCTGATCATTTACAAGAACTTGAACATGTTCTTAAACATTTACTTGCTAAAATAAAGGTTGAAAGAAAATCCAGCAGGTGGCGGTAATGACCCTAGATGCTGCTGTAGACGCTTTATTAGCAGCAGCAGAAGAAGAGACGCGCGGCGGATGTAAGCTAACGCCGTTAGCGTTAGCATCGCTGTGTTTGTGCTGGTTGGGAGGCGGTGTTGGGTGTGAGGTGAGTGTGGAGGCTCTGCAGCAACATGTCTTCAGCTCGGGCTCTCAGAGAGTTTATCAGCGAGCGGCTAACTGCTGCTGCTGGAGAAATATTCTCCGAGTTTGAAAGAACCATCGTCCGCTACGAGGAGGAGATCGATCGTCAGCGCAGACTGCTGGAGACGAGCCGGAAACCACGGATCAACCCACACAGAACAGGTATGGTCAAAGGTAGGAGCGAACACCTGGCGCAGACCCGAACCAGAGGTCCTGACCTTCAGAGGACAGTCACGTCACTGGCATGAGAACTTAGGCAGAGCTAGAGTCCTCTAAAGAAACTATGAAAGTGCAGGGTTAGGGTTAACATTGTGTCATATAACTCACGGACCTGTGTGTTGGACAGAATGCAGGAGACAGAGCCAAACGCATAGTTATAGACACTCTCCTGGAAAGTGCAGCCTGCAAGAGACTTTCTGTCCAAACTAGTCCTGGATAAACAACCCCATGATTATTTTGGAGCCGGAGAATCAAGTATTTAAGCCTGGGAATTGTGCATAGAGAATTCCTGGTGGGATCAATATATATTATGGCATAAGAAGCATGAAGTACTACGCTGGGGTAGATTGGTGTGCAGCTATTGCATTTCCAAATAATGAAGATATTTATCTCAACAGGTTGGGTTTCTTAAGTGTTTTTATTAATGACTGAATATTCATGTAAATTCCTAGTAGGAGATATTAATGCTGATGGTCATGCCAAAAATCAACATTTAGGCGAAACTTCCATGAGTTTTGTGACACAAACAAACTGGTGTTTTCTTGTGTGTGTGTGTGTGTGTGTGTGTGTGTGTGTGTGTGTGTGTGTGTGTGTGTGTGTGTGCGTGTGTGCGTGTCTTCTCCATCCCCATCCCCAGTGAGTCGTGGAGGATGGCTGCTTATACTGAGCCGGGATTCTCTGGAGGTTTCTTCCTGTTAAAAGGGAGATTTCCTCTCCACTGTCGCTGCATGCTTGCTTAGTATGAGGATTGCTGTAAAGTCACTGACACTAGTCAGTGACTTGATGCAATTTGCTGGGTTCCTTATTAAGGACACATTATTTCTGATTGGCTTAATGAACTGACCTGTATTGGAATGTTTATTATGTGAAGTGCCTTGAGACGACTCTTGTCGTGATTTGGCGCTTTATAAATAAACTTGAATTGAATTGAAAGTACGGTTTTAGTAAGGATTCTACGCTGTGCTTTATAAATGAGACCCCAGGTCATTAAGCCAATCAGAAAAAAAGTTTCCTATATAAGGAACCCAGCAGCACGCACACACACACACACACACACACACACACACACACACACACACACACACACACACACACACACACACACAAATGTACTTACACCAAGTAGGTTTGTGATCTATCAAACATGGAGTACGCACAGCTGCACGCAATCTCCCCTTCATAAATCAGAGAATTAGGGCTGCAGCTATCGAATATTTTTGTAATCGAGTACTCTATCGAATATTTTTTTCGATTAATCGAGTACTCTAATAAATTACCCTTTTGTGTTTGTAAACCATTATATCATATATTGATGAGCCAAGATGGCGTCGAGTATGGCTGCCTCGTCGCGAGCTCCACCAAGTTCCAACAATACACGCTCCATACTGTACATTAATGCCACTGTGTTGCACATACCAACCTCTGTACATTTTATATCTCTTATCTTATTGTTTACTTTATTCATTTGTATACTTAGATTAGCCATTTTTATATTTGACTTGTTTTTACATTACTGTATTTTTGCACAACTCAGTTGCTGTGAAGCTCGCACACAAGAATTTCACTCGCATGTACTGTACCAGTGTACCTGCACATGTGACGTGACAATAAAAGTGATTTGATATCAAATAGCATGTTATAATTATGAAAGACCTCTTAAAATGAGCAAGCAATTGCCAGTTATTCTTCAAGTTTTATTCAAAATTAGTTTGCATAACTTCAGCACTTCAACTTTACTTCACAGTAAACAAATGCCTGTGCAAAAAATAAGTAAACAACCTGAGCCGATTTTCCCCTCATGCGAGAATCTGCTCGCCTGCAAGCCAGACAAAAACTAGGAGGATAACGCTGCGAGCGGCTGCGGCCCAAACAGAACCAGAACCGCTCACGGCGCAAACAGCTCGCCGACTGTTTCCCTATTAACACACGTCCGTTTTAATTTCTACACTTTTTTTTCTCACACTAACAAGGATTGCCAAAAGCATGTTTGCTGTGGTTATGTCAAATTATACTGATCACAAAACATTTATTTACTTTCTTTCGTTTTCCTCCGACACTCATAAATACCCGTGTCCTGCTGCAGAAACCCCGAGGGACAACAGACATCAATAACACAATAGAAAGTCCGACATATTGTGTAAAAACTGCTATTTTTTAGCACATTTTAAGTCCGACGTGTTGCTACCAGACGTAAGGTGTGAGCTGAAACTGAGCGCTACAAACGAAAAAGTCGCAGTGTCCGCAGAATATATAGAAATACAGGCTAAAAAGCATCATCTTGTAGAGGCTCTGAGTCCGCTTGCAGAAGTGACATTTACAGGTGCTGCAGCACGGAGGATGTGGTGTTGTGGTAGGTTAAATCCATTTTACTGTATTTATACTGGACTACGTTTTCCGTCTTACGACGTGAAAAATGGTCCCACAACTTTGACTTTTTCTGTCTTTTTCGCACTCCACCGGGGTCCACGTTGTTAAGAGAAAGTTAAGTTACATTCGCTACTCGCGTGTGCATTCAGTGCAGTGGGCATGTGCGTCACTTATTTCGGTCCGGGTGAAACATGACCCCGGGCGATTGCAAAGCCACGAATTAATTAAATATGAATTAAACGAATCCTCGAGGCAGAGAATTTGACTCGAGGATTTTTTGTACTCGAATTATTCGAGGTACTCGAGGAATCGTTTCAGCTCTACAGAGAATGTTTCTCAGCTGCTTTTTAGTCACATCCCGCCCTCACCACGCCCACTTACTGCCATAAATGGTCAATGCAAAGTGCCTTGTGGACCTCATGAATATACATAAGCCGGCTGTTGCAGCATTTCGATCACAACAGCAGATCAAGGAAGCACTATTTCACGAGCAGAAGATGAGGTACCTGTGGGTGAGGAGGAGAAATGAAAGGAAGTGCTTTTGCAAAACAAATAAGAGAAAATCCACGGAGTGGCACAGCGTTGCTGAAGCCGTCAATGCTGACTTCTTCAGAGAGATCTGTGGTGGATATAAAAAAATGGTCCAATCGGGATTCGATCTCAGACTCCCGGGTGAAAGTCACACACACTAACCAGTCACCCAAACGGAGATGTCCCCTGTACAAGTAGCCAGGGCGCATGATCAATCAGGTCACAGTGACAGGACACACACTGTCCCAGACGCATGATGTTCTGTCTCAATCTGTCCCCCTGCTGATATTCTGCATTCTGTATTCTGCGCTTCAGGCTGTGTGTGTGTGTGTGTGCGGGGGGGGGGGGGGGGGGGTCTTGTTCTGTGTGAACAGGAAGCGGTCCAAGTGATAATGCTGCAGGATTTCATAATTGTATCTTCTCAGCAGCAGCACTGCAGGTGCTCTCCACGTCCAGCATGTGCGTAAGCCAGGTCCTTAGTCAACTTAAAGTTGACACATTTTCCACTAAGTTTTCTTTCATGAATCCCAAAGTTAGTGTGGAAAGTTGCTTACGCACAGGGTCCAAAATTAACACTCGCCAAATGCGAGTAAATTGCTCCATTTGGCGAGTAAATGTTTGAGCTCTACCTGCCATTTGGCGAGTAAATGTTTGAGCTCTACCTGCCATTTGGCGAGTAAATGTTTGCACCAAATGAGTTATGTTCATCAGTCATCTTCCATAGATTTTTGATACTCCTCCCGCCTGCATGCAACGTACGCAAAACGTGAACGCCGCATCCAACGTCATTTCCACCTATCCCATTCAATCATTTTATCAAGTTAGCAGTTAGCTTCGTGTTAAAACTAGCGGTGAAATGTGGCGGTTTTTAACTGGAGTCAGCCAGCCTTCCAAAAGAAAACTTGTCGAACTGGAAGAAAAACCACCAGGACCAGTGGCAACCAGAAGATTTTGTGAAAAGTGGCGAACTGGAGATGGCGGAGTAGTGAGACAATGGCTACATCATGATGGCCACGTAGCGTTGCTGCCTTTCACAGACAACTGTCCCTCGGCATTCTTCAAATATCCAAAAAATGCCCGTACTTCCGACTTTGTCTTCTTTGAGGGATAATAAATGTTCCGAGTGCTGCCGTCTCCTCCTGCTAGGGCTGCTCAATTAATCGAATTTTAATCACGATTACGATCTGAGTTTTGAACGATTATAAATATCATAACAAGCCGATTATTTGCTCCTCCCGCTTGCGCTGCCCTAAGTTGCAAATGAAGCGCTCCTCCACAGTGTTGCCAACTTGGTGACTTTGACGCTATTTCTAGCAGCTTCTCAGACCCCCTTCCTGACTTTTTAAATCCTAAAAGTACCTAGCGAACACCTCAGAAACATCTCTGGTAACCCTTAGCTACTTTCTGGATAACTGTCGTCGACGTTTCCTGCAGGTTAGCTAAACACTCCGCCTGCGCTCCGGACCGTTCTTCAGGACATTAGGAAAGGGAATGATGTAGTGATGTGTCGGTCGCTAAAGAAACGGCTCTCGGAGCCGGCTCCCTGTTGGATTAACCAGAGTGAGTGACACACACACCGCACCTGCGGGCTCCTGAGCCGCTAAAAACAGCTAAATGTGCGCGTGCAGCGTGCTAAACACACGTGCAGCTTGCCCGATTGCTGTGAGACCGGGGTGGGGGGGTGGGGGGTGCAGCTGTGGTCGGGACAATTATTACATTAACTGATGGGCCTGTAAATAAATAGTTTATAAATAAGGTAGAAATAAGTTCCTCACGCTGATAACTAACCTCTCTGAGGACACAGTGCTACAGCACCTTGACACGACTCAATAAATGTTATGTAACATTTTGTGAACATCAATTTATTTGCATTTATTTGTTATAAATGCCACTGTATAATTCTTGCTGTCAGTATTTGCCAGATATTGGTATTTGGGTCTGTACTGGTTAGACTTAAATGAGTTAAACCAAGGTCTACAGCCCTTGGGTCATAAACTATGAGCTGTAAGTATATTGTTCTTTTTATACTGGGAATCAGGAGTTATTTTAGTGATCATCTTGATTCTTATTTTTGTCCTGATTGTGCCCTGAGCAATTTTATGACTGAATAAAAACAAATAAAATCAACATAAATTGAAAAATCGTCTTAAATAATCGTGATCTCAATTTCAGTCACAATAATCGTGATTATTATTTTTGCCATAATCGAGCAGCCCTACCTCCTGCCATTATTTCAGCTTTAGCTGAAAGAAAGTTTTGGTCGTAAACAACAAAGTGCGCATGTGCCGCCGGCAACTTCAGCAGATGATACGGTGGCTGGTAAGGGTCACCGCGCCTACACCGCAGCCACGGTAATCCACCGAGATAATATATATATATATTTTAAAACAAGACGGTTATTATTATTGTCAACTTTTTTACCGGGGTTTACCGCTACACCGGTTACCGTGACAACCCTGACACACTTTCAGATCTTCTCATGGTGCAGCTGTGTTCTCCAGAGATCAAGGACTAGGACCCAAATGAGGCTTTGGCACAAAGACGGTGTCAGAAGCAGGAGGCCAGACTTCATGGACAGAGAAAACAAGGAGTCTGACTAGATTTCAATGAAAGAGTTCATAAAAACATCTCTAAAAATAAATAAATAAATGGTAAAAATGACAAAACAGTTGTTTTCCTTATTAATTGATGTTTTAATTATTTTGTCTCTCTGTTTGGAATCAACATAATATAGAATAACATGCTTTAGGTAGATCTAAATCATTTAGAGTTTTGGCCGGTAGATTTCCATCATCTACCAGCCAACTTGGCCGGTGAGTAAACAATTTAATTTCGGACCCTGCTTACGCAGTTTTCCGACCCCATTTTGTGCGTAAGCTAGCTTGATAAATGAGGCCCCTGACCTGTACTGGAATGTTTTCACCTCTTGGTGAAGGGTTATGCATTCTCCACGTCTCTTTAATGTCTAAGTCCATCATAAAGAGGTTGAATGTTTTGGATGCTGCATCTTAGGAAGGTGACCCTACTGCAGCGGGTTCATATGAATTTAACATTTTATTCCAAGTAGTATTTGATGGAATCTGTGTGGGTCAGTTAGAATTAAAAATATGGGCGTTTAATTGTTAATCTGGTGGTGCAGAGTTGGCCAGAACATCTTCAGATGCATCAGGTGACCAACCTGAAGTGTGCTTTCTTAGTCATGATAATAAGCCTTTTCTTTTGTTTTTGTATTCAGAAATGCCACAGTGCTGTGGTAGGAACGAGGAGGAGCCTCAGAGAGACCAGCAAGTCTGTGACCAGGACAGGAAATCCAGTTTGGACCAGGAGGAACCAGAACCTTTGCAGATTAAAGCCGAAGAGGAGGAGCACTGCATCACACAGGATGAAGAGCGGTTCGTAACGCAGCAGGAGTTCATTGCCTTTATGGTGACTCCTACTTCTGATCAAAGAGAACCAGAACCAAGTAGGGAGACACTCTTGTGTCGGAACTATCCCGAAACTGGATACCGAGATCAGACTGGGGGCGGGAATGAAGACCATGGACCACGTAGAGATGAAGAGCCGAGACAAAACCAGAGATGCCCACAAACCAAAGGTCACAGAGATGAAGGATGGTATCCACGCTTCACACAATGTACGTTGTCTCAGGACATCCAGTGTGACCCAAGTGAGAAGCCCTATTCTTGTCAAATGTGTGACAAAAGTTTCAGCAAACGTTGTTCGTTGTTGTTGCACATGAAGACCCACACAGGTCAGAAGGTGCACTCCTGTCAGTACTGTGGTAGAAGCTTCTCCTTAAGCCACCATCTGATCTATCACCTCAGAACTCACACAGGTGAGAAGCCCTTCACCTGTCAGACGTGTGGAAAAAGCTTCAGTCAGAAAAACACTTAAGTAAACCACGTAAGGATTCACACGGGTGAGAAGCCATACCCGTGCGAGACCTGTGGAAAACACTTCAGACAGAAAAGTGCTCTAAATGTTCACACGAGGACCCAACACGCGTGAGAAGTTGTGGTGCACAGGCCAGCCATGCCAGTGCTTCCTTATGGGAAGCAAAGGGCCGGGTAACGCTCCCATTCAGCATGTTCTCTCTGCAGCACTACCTCACCTCTCAGCAGGCTAACGGAAACGTGGTGAAGCCCCAAAAAAATGTGTAAGACTAACAAGTTCCAGTTTTTAAGTACCCTTTATCTCATGTGTGTGACCATATATGTACATGTTTGTTCCTTGTGCTGAAGACTCACCCACAGTTGTGGGTCTGGAACACGATATTTCAGTTCCAAGTCCCGTTGCAGCTGGTTGTAACGCTGCCTTGCCCTACCACATCGTTGTGATGTGCACCCAGCCCCACGTGTTCGCTGTGCTTAATAAAAATGAGCCGCGCAGAGGAGAACTTTGGAGTTGAGCAGAGACACGACTGTGTCCTGTTTAACGTCTCCATTGCTCTCTCCCCTTTGCAAAGCTGAAAAGACAAAACTCGTTCCTGTGTGATTATTACGTTAGGCAGGAAAACCCCAACAGAAATGAATCATGCTAACTAGGCTTGGTGGTATTACAGCCGGTGTTTAAAAAAAGCAGCGGTGTCAGCTGCGCCTTGGGGGGTTCCAGGACTCAGCAGGGCGCCATATCAAATCCAGTTCATTTACCATTTTACCATCAGGTCCTGTACAGTCATGGAGAAACCTGCACGTAGGAGACAAGGATTTAAAATATAAACGTTTATGAACGTGATGTCATTGCATGACTGAGAGCAAAATGGTAGCTTGCGCACCAGCTGACTTGGTGTCTAAAAAGAACACAACTTCTGCAGTTTGGGAGTATTTCAGGTTCAAAGCTAACTTAAAAGGAGAGCCGTGAACACTGCTGAGGTCGTTTGTGCTAATGTGACAGTGTGAGTGAGCGTCCTGTCACAATGTCCCGATTGATCTGGCGCCCTGGTTTTGGCTGACTGGTTAGAGCGTATGACTCACCCGGGAGTCTGGGGATCGAATCCCGCCCGGGCCCTCGTTTATCCACCTTGCCACACTAAGAAAGATGAACACCAATGACGAATGCCCCATTGGAACAGCAGAGGAGCGAGCCGTAGCTGAAATAGCAGCCTTCTGTCTGCAGTCTGTTATTAAAAGAGATGACAACGTGCTTTCTGGTGGGAAACGAGCTGCCAGCCTTCCCCAGATGTCACAACTAGTCCCAAAGTTACCGGGTGTCTGCCTCAAACTCGTTAAGGCGGGTTCCCAGCAGTCGGCTGGTTTTTCAGGCGAACAATCTTTTTATAAGCTGCATTTTTTAAAAGTTGTTAATATTATGTTGTATGAGCCACTGTTTGAACAAGCTGCCGGTAATCTCGGACCTCATATGTACATCAGACACGTAGAAGATGATGGCGCCGCTGAACATGGCATGCCATCTTTGCTCAAATGGCTTTCTGTGTCTACTCTTTCTAGGGTTTTTTGTGAGTAATGTAACTCCTGATGACATATGATCGGGAAATTTTATTGAATCTCTGACCAGACTGTGGAGACTTGGACAGACATGGATCGATTCTGCCTTTTTTCCACCCTCATTACCATCATTTTTGTCGTGTCAGATTTTGTCGTGTCCTCGTTGGCGGAAGCGGTGGAGGCGTCGAAAGCGTGGTGGACGTCGTCTGAGAATCTGACGGTTTGTCCCTCTGGGATGTGTAGCAAATTCATAACCTTATGGTTCTGGTCCATCAGAAGTAGAATTATAAACATGTAAAGTTTCCTCTGTGTCAGAGCCGCATCGCAGTCCATTTTTCTCTGGATTAAGCTAATGACTCCCTCAGCTGACGTCACTTGGTTGGGCAAAAAAAATTTAAAAATTCTGACAAAACTGACTCGAAAAGCCTAAATAATGCATGTTTGTATAAAACGTTTAAACGAGTTTCTCTTATGTTTCTCTCATCATCGGTTCAGGGGAGGCTAACCTGCTGTTTGCTCTTTAATGGATTTTAGCACCTTCACGTGCGGTGCCCTTTCTGACCGGAAGGAGGCAGCAGAACACAAAACTGTGTCCGACTCTGCCAGAATTAAACCGAAGAAGAAGAAGAAGCTAGCTGGACGGAAACGCATGTAGCAACACATTTAAGCTTCTGTGGAGGATTTTCCTGCTGACTCAGGATTAAACTGATGGAGACAAACTTTGTGATGGAGCAGTGAGTGAGGATGAGAATATTTAAGCCAAAGGTTCCGGCTGCAGCCTGTTTAAGTTGCTGCAGTTCCGCCGAAGCCACCGTTAGCTGAACTTTGTTGTGACCTTTTTCTTCTCCAGGTGAGGATGTGACTGGACCGTGGGTGGTGTGGAGCCCCTGGAGGGACCGCGGATCGGCGGCTCCGGGATGGAGACCTGGACCCCTAATCCCCGAGCGAAACCGTTCATCCCGCGCCAGCAACGGAGCTGGTACCTCACCTGGAAATACAAGCTGAGCAACAAGAGGGCGGTCCGGAGGTTCTGTCAGGTCAGTTCGGTTCAGTTCTGGCGTCTCCAGGCTTGGTCTAGTCCGCTTCTCTCGTTGGTGATGCTGTTCTCACCGATAATCTAGAATCCAACATAAAGCGAGGAGCAGTAAACAGTCAGAGGATCCACTGAAACCCGAACTCCACAGAAATGTTCCGAGTTCTCCCAGGTTCTGGACCCTCGTCTGCTCCTACAGCAGGAACCTCAGGGCTCGGGCTTCAGCCCGGGCAGGGAGGCGGGACATGGAAGCTGCCTGCGTCCTTCAGTGATGGGAGCTTCAGTTCTTTTAGGAGAACGGGTTCTCACGGCTCGGTTCGCTAAAACGAACCGGCTACTTCAGCTCTCGCATTTCTTTGTTTTTAAAATGATCTCATCAGCAGACAATGACGTAAAACGCGTGAAATTATTGAACGATCTACAAACTCATCAACACTTTATTATTAAAGGGAGGCTAGGCAGAGTGGAGTCTCCAGCTGTCATAGGGCTGCATTATACAATAGAATAAACTTTATTGATCCCACAGTGGAGACATCGCCACACACAGCAGCACCAGCACTACAGAATAACTACTAGATAAATAATAACAAGGTTCATGCATGTACATACAGGCAGTAATCCAGTATTGTAACCTTCAACCACTAAAAACCTCGAATGCAAAGTTAAAACCAACACTGTGCAGCATACCAGGGGTGTAACGGTACGCTAAAATCCTACATTTCTTATCTGAAGCGGCTCCTACAGTCAGCAGAAGCAGGTGTCATCACGGGCTGCTGATCTAACGTGATGTCTTTATTTATTTTACAGGTTATTAGCGCAGCTATGAGTGTCACGCTCATACAGACACGTGTTGTTTGACTGTTGATGCTCCATGTTTTTGTTTCTACAGTGAGCCTTAAAAACACCTCACACCGCCCAGAGGTTCTTCTCTAAACTTATATAAATAACGAGCTTCCTCAACGCCGTGTGTTTGTTGTAGGATGAAAACTTTACATCAGTTGTCCCATGGGAAGTTCAACAGACGTGTTTGTTTACATTTGTGCCGCTGCATGCGTGCAGTGTGAGAAAAGGGAGGGGGGGCGACGCTCTGTTCAGTGTCTTGCTGAACCAGACGCTGTCCCTGCTGCTGGAGCCTGTAGAGACGCTGTCGCTGCTGCTGGAGCCTGTAGAGATGCTGTCCCTGCTGCTGGAGCCTGTAGAGACGCTGTCCCTGCTGCTGGAGCCTGTAGAGACGCTGTCGCTGCTGCTGGAGCCTGTAGAGACGCTGTCCCTGCTGCTGGAGCCTGTAGAGACGCTGTCGCTGCTGCTGGAGCCTGTAGAGACGCTGTCGCTGCTGCTGGAGCCTGTAGAGATGCTGTCCCTGCTGCTGGAGCCTGTAGAGACGCTGTCGCTGCTGCTGGAGCCTGTAGAGACGCTGTCGCTGCTGCTGGAGCCTGTAGAGATGCTGTCGCTGCTGCTGGAGCCTGTAGAGACGCTGTCGCTGCTGCTGGAGCCTGTAGAGACGCTGTCGCTGCTGCTGGAGCCTGTAGAGATGCTGTCCCTGCTGCTGGAGCCTGTAGAGATGCTGTCGCTGCTGCTGGAGCCTGTAGAGATGCTGTCCCTGCTGCTGGAGCCTGTAGAGACGCTGTCGCTGCTGCTGGAGCCTGTAGAGACGCTGTCCCTGCTGCTGGAGCCTGTAGAGATGCTGTCCCTGCTGCTGGAGCCTGTAGAGACGCTGTCCCTGCTGCTGGAGCCTGTAGAGATGCTGTCGCTGCTGCTGGAGCCTGTAGAGATGCTGTCCCTGCTGCTGGAGCCTGTAGAGACGCTGTCCCTGCTGCTGGAGCCTGTAGAGACGCTGTCGCTGCTGCTGGAGCCTGTAGAGATGCTGTCGCTGCTGCTGGAGCCTGTAGAGACGCTGTCCCTGCTGCTGGAGCCTGTAGAGATGCTGTCGCTGCTGCTGGAGCCTGTAGAGATGCTGTCCCTGCTGCTGGAGCCTGTAGAGACGCTGTCCCTGCTGCTGGAGCCTGTAGAGACGCTGTCGCTGCTGCTGGAGCCTGTAGAGATGCTGTCGCTGCTGCTGGAGCCTGTAGAGACGCTGTCGCTGCTGCTGGAGCCTGTAGAGACGCTGTCGCTGCTGCTGGAGCCTGTAGAGATGCTGTCCCTGCTGCTGGAGCCTGTAGAGACGCTGTCGCTGCTGCTGGAGCCTGTAGAGATGCTGTCGCTGCTGCTGGAGCCTGTAGAGATGCTGTCCCTGCTGCTGGAGCCTGTAGAGACGCTGTCGCTGCTGCTGGAGCCTGTAGAGATGCTGTCCCTGCTGCTGGAGCCTGTAGAGACGCTGTCGCTGCTGCTGGAGCCTGTAGAGACGCTGTCCCTGCTGCTGGAGCCTGTAGAGATGCTGTCCCTGCTGCTGGAGCCTGTAGAGACGCTGTCCCTGCTGCTGGAGCCTGTAGAGATGCTGTCGCTGCTGCTGGAGCCTGTAGAGATGCTGTCCCTGCTGCTGGAGCCTGTAGAGACGCTGTCCCTGCTGCTGGAGCCTGTAGAGACGCTGTCGCTGCTGCTGGAGCCTGTAGAGATGCTGTCGCTGCTGCTGGAGCCTGTAGAGACGCTGTCCCTGCTGCTGGAGCCTGTAGAGATGCTGTCGCTGCTGCTGGAGCCTGTAGAGATGCTGTCCCTGCTGCTGGAGCCTGTAGAGACGCTGTCGCTGCTGCTGGAGCCTGTAGAGATGCTGTCGCTGCTGCTGGAGCCTGTAGAGACGCTGTCGCTGCTGCTGGAGCCTGTAGAGATGCTGTCCCTGCTGCTGGAGCCTGTAGAGACGCTGTCCCTGCTGCTGGAGCCTGTAGAGATGCTGTCGCTGCTGCTGGAGCCTGTAGAGACGCTGTCCCTGCTGCTGGAGCCTGTAGAGATGCTGTCCCTGCTGCTGGAGCCTGTAGAGACGCTGTCCCTGCTGCTGGAGCCTGTAGAGATGCTGTCGCTGCTGCTGGAGCCTGTAGAGATGCTGTCCCTGCTGCTGGAGCCTGTAGAGACGCTGTCCCTGCTGCTGGAGCCTGTAGAGACGCTGTCGCTGCTGCTGGAGCCTGTAGAGACGCTGTCCCTGCTGCTGGAGCCTGTAGAGACGCTGTCGCTGCTGCTGGAGCCTGTAGAGATGCTGTCCCTGCTGCTGGAGCCTGTAGAGACGCTGTCGCTGCTGCTGGAGCCTGTAGAGATGCTGTCGCTGCTGCTGGAGCCTGTAGAGATGCTGTCCCTGCTGCTGGAGCCTGTAGAGACGCTGTCGCTGCTGCTGGAGCCTGTAGAGATGCTGTCCCTGCTGCTGGAGCCTGTAGAGACGCTGTCGCTGCTGCTGGAGCCTGTAGAGATGCTGTCGCTGCTGCTGGAGCCTGTAGAGATGCTGTCCCTGCTGCTGGAGCCTGTAGAGATGCTGTCCCTGCTGCTGGAGCCTGTAGAGACGCTGTCGCTGCTGCTGGAGCCTGTAGAGACGCTGTCGCTGCTGCTGGAGCCTGTAGAGATGCTGTCCCTGCTGCTGGAGCCTGTAGAGACGCTGTCGCTGCTGCTGGAGCCTGTAGAGATGCTGTCCCTGCTGCTGGAGCCTGTAGAGATGCTGTCCCTGCTGCTGGAGCCTGTAGAGATGCTGTCCCTGCTGCTGGAGCCTGTAGAGACGCTGTCCCTGCTGCTGGAGCCTGTAGAGATGCTGTCCCTGCTGCTGGAGCCTGTAGAGACGCTGTCCCTGCTGCTGGAGCCTGTAGAGATGCTGTCGCTGCTGAAGGGATCAAAGGAACAGCGTTAGGCTGGTGTAAATCCTACCTGTCTGATAGATTTCATTTTGTAAATGTACATGACAAATCTTCATGCTCCAGGGTTACCTGTGGAGTACCACAGGGTTCAGTGCTTGGACCAATTCTTTTTACTATATATATGCTCCCAATTGGTAAAATCATTAGACAGCATGGGATAAACTTCCACTGTTATGCTGACGATACTCAGTTATATTTATCCATTAACCCTGATGAACCTAATCGGTTGGGTAGATTACAGGCTTGTCTTGAGGACATAAAACATTGGATGACTCTAAACTTTTTACTTTTAAATCAAGACAAGACGGAAGTTCTCATCTTTGGACCAGAAATCCAGAAAAGGAAATTGCTTAGCCAATCGCCTGACCTGAATGGCATTACATTAATCTCAGAGAACAAAGTAAGGAACCTTGGTGTTATCTTTGACCAGGACATGTCATTCAAATCCCAGGTTAAACAGGTTTGTAGGATTTCCTTTTTCCACCTTCGGAATATTGCTAAGATTAGAAGCATCCTTTCCAGGAGTGATGCTGAAAAACTAGTTCATGCATTTATGACATCAAGACTGGATTACTGTAATCCATTACTCTCAGGAAGTCCACAGAATGTAGTTAAAAGTCTTCAGCTTGTCCAAAATGCTGCAGCTAGAGTTCTGATGAGAATTAAAAAGAGAGATCATATTTCTCCTTTCTTAGCTTCCCTACGTTGGCTACCTGTTAAATTCAGAATAGATTTTAAGATCCTTCTTCTCACATATAAAGCTCTTAATAATCAAGCTCCATCATACATCAGTGATCTGATTGTTCCATACGTTCCTAACCGAGCACTTCGCTCTCAGACTGCAGGTCTACTGGTGGTTCCCAGAATACCTAAAATTAGAATGGGCGGCAGATCTTTTAGTTATCAGGCTCCTCTCCTGTGGAACCAGCTCCCAGCTTTAGTCCGTGAGGCAGACACTTTGTCTACTTTTAAGAATAGGCTTAAAACATTTTTATTTGATAGGGCCTATGGTTAAAATCTGATGTTAGCCTAAATCTGGACAAGTGGGGGAGTAGAGGGAGGTGGAGTGTACAGTCGGTAAAGACGGCTCTCCCTTGCCCTGACTCCAACATGCCTCCATCTAAAAGGCTATTTTATCCAGAGTTATCTCTGTAGTTATGCTGCTATAGGCTTAGACTGCTGGAGGATACACTGACCACTTTCCACACTCTACTGCTTTCTTCTACAGTCTGCTCTTTAACTGTATTATTTCCTGCTATTTCAGCTGTTAACTTTATTTTCTCTCTAAGTGTTTTTCTCCCCAGAAGAAGCTACAACGATGTTCTGCTGAGCTGTGGTGGCCTCATGGAGGGGGCCATCGTCTAGCACACTGCTGCTAACTACTTAAACATTCTCCCTCTCCTGATAATAACTTTTTACTTTCCTTGACGTTGGATGTGCTACTACTAGTTTACCCGTTTAATTATAGATCCACTAGGATAAATACAATAAAGTTTATCTCTCACCTAATAGAATATTTACTAAGAAATCACAATGTAACTATAGAAACATTACTTTGTGTGTGTGTGTGCGTGTGTGTGTGTGTGTGTGTGTGTGCGTGCGTGCGTGCGTGCGTGCGTGTGTGCTCTGTCTTTTCGATACCCAGTGAGTCATCAAGTCAGTGACTCGATGCAACCTGCTGGGTTCCTTATATAGGAATCTCGTTACTGACTGGCTTAATGACCTGACCTGTACTGTTTACTGTGTGAAGGTCCTTGAGACGACTCTGGTCCTGATTTGGCGCTTTATAAATAAACGGGGCTGCAATGCAGTGGAGTCGATGAAGCATCACCATGGCAACGCACCATGAAAACGCATCTGGCCCCAGAGACGACCACATTTCTTTTAATTATATAGATGCAACAATATGTCCTGAACTTGGCTGTAGACATCAAGGGTTATGTCCCGGGAGTGCAGGCTTGAGTGGAAGTCCAGCTACTGAAGTTTGGGCCTTCATCATTTATGCACTCACCATTAAGACGTGTCCCATTGGGCTTTAGACTCATAGAAGCATTCTGGGCTGAAAATGAGGGAATAAAGTCATTAATGATAGTGCCAACCACCGGCGGTTCTGGTAATGACACTTTCAACAGCAAACCTGGATTCTTCTCCTCAGGCCGGAGCGGTTCTGTTCCTCCTGATCACCGTCATCATCAACATCAAACTGATTCTGGACACGAGGAGAGCAGCAAGTGAAGAGGCAGCTCGGGAGTATGGTGAGTCTTAGAACTTGTAAATGTTCTGGTAAAGACCATAAAGTTCTAACTGGACCGGCTTCAGCTGGCCAGTACTACCTCAGAACCAGACTTTTGACCTAAGTGCTGTCTGAGGGGCTGAACTGGGTCCTGAGCCAGGTCTGACTCGGCTGGATCCCAGAATTTTACTATGTTTTCTTTCTGTGAAGAATCTGTTTATTTCATTGTTCTAACCCTCTGGTTCTGGTTGTGGTTCTGATTCTGCCGGCTTCTAGAGGATGTGATTCCCAACATGGAAACACCACGCCGATCAGCCGGTGGACGCCGGGTTCTGGACATTGAGGTCTACTCCAGCCGCTCCAAAGTCTATGTAGCTGTGGATGGAACCACGGTGAGTTTTAGTCGGGTTTCATGAACACCAAGTTACTGTACTTCCCATCTGTACTGGGCTTGGCCGGCGTTACCGTACACAGCCGGTGTCAGTTCCTATACCGTCATGAAAACAAGTGCGTGTAGGAGACAAAGATTAAAAATAAAAAATGAACTAAAGGTAAATAAGTTATTTAATGTATAGAACAGAAGCGTGGTTGAGTTTTCAGTTTTACTTCAATAGTTTAAAATGTCCTGTCCAACTTTTAGAGACGTTCCATGAAGTTTATGAACGTGATGTCCTCTCGTGACGGCACGGAGAAAAATGGCAGCTTGTGCACCAGCTGACTTGGACCGTGTCCAAATTCTCGGGTTGCATGTTCATGAGTACCCTTCCTAAACGGTCTCAGGAGAACGTGTTCTTCTGTGACCGTTTAGACCGGGGGCGTTTCTCAATGCCAAGGAACCTTGCCTTGATGTCTTGGCCCCGCCCCGGTTACCTAGGAGATACGTCATCAGGAACCGCCAAGGCATGTTCCCATGTTCATGTTCCACTGAGGCGTGTGTTCTCCGTTTGTTAGCCGTTTAGCTAGCTGAGCAAGGATACACGCGAGGTGTCTTGCAGCCTAGCCTTGGTCAAAAATTACCCACAATACACCGCGTTCTTTTCAAAAGGATGGCGAATCAGAAGCCGGCAGCTACTTCGGGGTACGTCACTGGTCTTAAAATCCAACCTCATGAGCATGCCACCCCTGATTTTGGACACGGCCTTGGTGTCTAAAAATAACACGGCCTTTGCAGCTTGGGAGTATTCTGGCTTGAAGCAAACTTAAAAGAGAGCCAGTAAACACTAATGAGGTCATTTGTGCAACAAAAGTTGACGACGAAAAATGCACGCCCCATCAGAACATCAGAGGAGCGAGCCGTAGCTGAGGTAGCAGCCTTCTGTCTGGAGTGGTGTGGTTATTAAAACAGACGACGTGTTTTCTGGTGGAAAAATAAGCTGCCAACCTTCCCCAGATATCGCGACTAGCCTCAAATAACCGCGTTTCTGCCACCAGCTCATTGAAGCGGGATTTCAGCAGGCCGATGTTGAAGCCAAAATAGGTAAACATGCTGGTTTTTCAGGCAAAAAAAAGTTTTTACAAGCTGCTTTTTAAAAAAGTTAATATTATGTGGTTTTTTTTTAGTAATAATGTTTGTTATTTAGTTTCTGAACGAAGAAAGTCCAAAACAACAGCTCGGTTTTTCCACTTGAGGCTTACGTCATCATTTATAAATTAGTCCCAGTAATGCTGTAGAGGGGTGTCCCGATAGAACTTGTTCACTTCCGATACGATACCGATATGGCAGCCTTCCGTATTGACCGATACCAATATCAGTTCGATACGATATCAGCACAAATCATACAGACTTTTACCTGTTTCGTAGTGTGGAATGTATGAAAGCCTTGATCAGGTGATACTACTCGGTCGGAGAACAAGAGCCAATAACAGTAAGTATGAAAAAAAGGACCATTTTTTCTTAACCATTGTTTCAAAATTGTGAACCTTAACAGACCGCTTACATCGGAGATTTTTGATGCCGTCCGATATAATCCGATACAGTGTTTTTGAGCCAATATGGAATTACTTCCGATATCGATATCTAAATGGGACATCCCTAATGCCGTACACCTTGGTAAAATGTCGAGGAAGCAGGATGGTATTAAAATTTGGATACCGCCCAAACCTAGTCTGAACCAACATAAATCACACAAACACATTCTATAAAGGAGCTATTTATTGCTGCTTTTCAGAGAATTTGCTTAGAAAGCATAAAATGTCAGTAATCAGGACACTTTACCACAGAGCAAACACAACAGAAGAAGAGTAACGCAGACAAGAGCACCAACACATACAAAACGCTTTAAACACCTGTGGGTACCCAACATGCGCAATTAACAAAGCATCAAGTAACAACAAAGAGAAAAGACGAACCAAAACAAAAAACCAGAAAGCACAGAGCCTAAACCACTGATAACCCTTCCAGCAATGAAAACACACAACTTACACACACCAACAAAACCATAAATGACAGTTAGGAACAGATTAGTGCACCCAAATGACAAGATATCAGCACATAAATGTGGCGTCACATATGAAATCCCATTTCCATTTTTTTTTTCATTTATTTCATTTAATCAATCAAATAAGTTACATTAAAAAAATTCATGTTCACAAATAATCATAAATGAAAAGGAGCAGAAAGAAGTGTAGCGTAGATAATCTACACAACTGGGATTTAACGCTGTTTGCTATTCAGCTATGCTAAATTTTGAGAAAGATCAAACAATTTGGCTTATGAACTTATATTTACATAGATATCCCCGGATATTTATATAATCGATAGAAGTTCATACACCAACTCGCTTGGTCTATGTTAAATCCAAAGATGAATATTTTATTTAAGAGATTTAATTAATAGCAAAAGTTTATTTATTAAATCAGAAGATTTAAAGAAATTTTTGCTCGTTCAATGACCAAATATACACCACTCTTGTGTTTCATTTCAAAGAAGAGTCAGGTTTAAAAAGTTAAGAATTTATTACTAACAATTTAAAAGACAACTTATAACAGCTTTGATATTAAAACTTGGTATTAAAGCAACCTGTGTCTGGATGAGACCAAAATGAAATGTGTGTGTTTGGATGTGTGAATGAAAGGTCTCAGAAAGGTTTCTATCAGAGAGAGAAACGCGTTCTGGGTGAAAGAGTTTGTTTTGCAGCTAACTAGAGGATTTCTTAAAGGAAACAGCATACAGACACAGTCTGTGTTCTACCTCACCGTTCAGACGACCCTCTGTGTAGATCCGGAGGTCAAGGGAGGATGTTGTCAGCCTCTGGGTACTCGGCCCGGTAGGGAAGACCTGAGTGGTACCGACTCTCTGGTCCAAGGGTTGCCGCAGGCCCACAGGTGTTGAGTTTGCATCTTAAATGAACTCTGAAGGAGTTTGCGTCAGCTGGTTGCAGATGACGTTTGTTGGAGCAATTCTATCGGCGTGACGGAACAGCTTAGTGGAGGCTTCGAGCGGCCGTCTTGATCCTCTGGGACTCTCGTGCCACGGAGAGATTTTGGTGAGCTTCGAACTGAACTAGAACTGAAGAGTTTAGGTTTTATTAAACCTCAGGAGACGCCCTCTCAGAGATGGAAAGCTTTGGTTGTTATGGAGCAAAGACATGTGAGGTGGTAACCTTTAACCCTGATGTCTGTGTTCTGCATGGTGTGTATAAATGCACATGACCTTCTTTACACTATTAAACATTACTGATTATCATAAATAATAATTATTATTAACCAAAGAATAATAATTCATTTCAGTAATTAAATACATTTAAATGGCCTGTATTTGATATAGCGCCTTCTAGAGTCCTGGAACCCCCCAAGGCGCTTTACAACACAACCAGTCATTCACCCATTCACACACACATTCACACACTGATGGGGATGAGCTATGATGTAGCCACAGCTGCCCTGGGGCGCACTGACAGAGGCGAGGCTGACGAGCACAGGCGCCACCGGTCCCTCCGACCACCACCAGCAGGCAACGTGGGTTAAGTGTCTTGCCCAAGGACACAACGACAACGACAGACTGAGCGGGGCTCGAACCTGCAACCTTCCGATTACGGGGCGAGCTCTTAACTCCTGTGCCACCGTCGCCCTACATAATGAACCATGATGATTATTTATGAACCTTGTAGTAGACAGTGAAAAGAGTTTATAAAAAATGATTCTTTTAAATCTTGAAGTGTCCTTCATCTTGTGGATGGAACAGAAGTCAGATTAAAGATGGTTTACAGCAGACTTTGTGTCTCCTGTGATGGATAATCTGTAGATAGAAGTACAGCTAGCACAGGTTGACCTAGCTGGGGAAGTGTGACCTTTGGGTCACAAATGAGGCCATTCATGTCGCTACAGAAGCAAAAACGTATAATATCTGCCCCCTTTTCACATCAAGACATTAGCTGTTCAACTCAAAGCCCGTCGTAGGCTTCACCACAGGCAGTAATCGTTAAATTCATAATTATTCTCGGAGAGAGACCAACTCTTATCTGCCCCTGGGAGCCCCGTAATGCATAGCGTCATTTCAACATGGGGGTGTCCGCGACACGGTTTATATGCAGGTAGCGGCGCTGCGGCTGCTTTATATAGCGACTCGTTGCATTCTCCCTCAACCCAAATCCTCGGATCACGCATTTTAGCTAAAACGCTAACGTTAGCTTGCCTTGCGTTGACTGTAGAGTTGTGGGTGATGGTCACGCAGATGTGTCATGAGATTTGAAGCGTTGCTGCCTTTCACAGACACTTTTTCTGCACGTGCTGCAAACAGGATAGCCGTCTTCTATCAGCTGTCCCTCGGCATTCTTCAGATATCCAAAAGATGCCCGTACTTCCCACTTTGTCTTCTTTGAGGGATAATAAATGTCCTGAGCGCTGCCGTCTCCTCCTTTGGCCATTATTTCAGCTTTAGCTTCAAGAAAGTTTTGGTTGTAAACAACAAAGTGCGCATGTGCCGCCGGCAACTTCAGCAGATGATACGGTGGCTGGTAAGGGTCACCGCGCCTACACCGCAGCCATGGTAATCCACCGAGATAATATAGTTTTAAAAACCAAGACGGTTATTATTATTGTCAACTTTTTTACTGTGGTTTACCGCTACACCGGTTACCGTGACAACCCTACAAGAAACAGATAAAAATGCAGTGAGTGGACAGATCGCTATAAGTAAAACAATAAAACTGGTTAGAAAGGTTCAAAGACGGATCATAAAAGTAGGTTTTTAGCCTTGCCTTTAAAACCGCAACAGAGGTGGAGGCCCTTATGCTGAGAGGAAGCTCGTTCCAAAGCTTAGGACCTGCCACCGCAAAGGCCCTATCACCACGTGTCTTTAGGCGCGCTCTTGGGACCGAGAGGAGCATGAGGTTCTCCGAGCAGAATGACTGTGCAGGGGTGTGTGGTTGAAGCAGACACCAAGTAAGGAGGGGCCAAACCATTTAACTTTTTAAAAACCAATAAGAGTATTTTAAAACAAATCCTTACACGCTCCATACACGCACAACTCTGCTAAATAATTTCTCATATGGTATTAAAACCTATAATAAATAAGATAAAAAGCTCCTGGTAAATGAAACTCATACACTTGCACCCACTAGAGGTGTGAATCTTCACTTGTCTTTCGATTCGATTACAATTATTGGGTCAACGATTCAATTCGATTCGATATCCCGATGCATCCCGATTATTTTATATTGATTTGTTTTCATCGATAAATAGAAGATGTCAGATAATTGCTTTTTATTTTTTCATCAAAAACCGTAATTGACACAACCTGCCATCCCTCAAAAGCTCTCCATTCACAACAGGTTAGGGCAAACATTTTAAACATTTAAGAAGATTTAACAAAGTAAAACATCTGTTTCCTGGTTCAACACCACGCCTCAGGCTGAGAAAAACACGCTTTGCAAAAACTCACAAAATCTAAAAAAGTACTGAAACCCTACAGGACACATCATGTAATAATAAAATACATAATGGGTTCATATGTGAGTGTTTAATGTCTCTGAGCAGCTCTAGAGTCAAATATTTATGCCACAGTTGAAGGGTGTCAGAAATAACACCAAATGAAATGTTTGACTTAATTTCATTTGAACCCAGTGGTTCGTTTCTGAAATGTTGGAGAATGAATCAAGTTCTGTTTGATGCAGAAAATAATAAAACATAAAACAAATTCTACACTCCAATAATATTTAAGATGTGTGTTTTATTCTTTCTGATAAGAACCCCAGCAGAAGGCTGTGGGCTGGATTAGGATTAAATTACCCAGCTGATGGATCTCCTTCACTAACCAGCTAACTACAAACCTTTCCACTAACCTGTCCTGTGTGACCCTCATGTCCATGCTGTCTCTGGAGGATAGGAGACAAGTCTCCTGTAACCTAAAATAGACCAAAGCTTCCTCCCAGCTTCTCTTTAAGCTGAATTTAACATCAGTTTATCATCATAAAACAAAAGAATAAAGTGGAACAAGAACTTCTATCTTCTATCTCTCTCTCCTTTTAATTTCTCCGTGTCCCTAAATAAAAGACGATCACGCTGCGTCCGCTGTCACTGACCCCGCCCCCTCCCCAAGACCGGATCTCCCTGCATTACAACAAGCAGTCTGACTGAGCGCTTCCAGGAGAAATAATAATTAAATTATGAAAATAACGCGTGTTTGGATCATCGGTTTGGAGGAGCGTCCTCCGATCGTCTCTCTTGTGTAAGCAGACAGTCTCTCTCTCTCTCTCTCTCTCTCTCTCTCAGTCGCTGATCGAGCGAGCGGAGCGCGCCGCATGACAACCCGCTCAATTAACTTAATTACGGCCCAAATCCAACAGAACCGGTCGGGCTGATTCGGTTCCGGTTTGGTCTCAGGTGACAACTCTAGGCTCAGCCCTGCAGTACCACATTAAGGCGGAGGTAAATGTGGAGGACGCTCAGTATTTGGATGCAGCGCTGGTGCCGCCGTTAAAAAAACAAAACTACATTCCACTATAATCGATTATGGCGTACTCTCCTACGATGCAGAATCGTTTATGTCCGCATCCCGATGCATCGATTATTTGATTATTTTCCTCAGCTCTATCACCCACCCCCACACACCCCTCCATACATGTACCTGTGCAGTTCACACTGGACTTTGCAGGATTTTTAAAGTGCTGGTGTCTCCTGCTCACAGTCCAGTTGTATTTAGCAGCCAAACAGCCTGAGGCAGAAAGCTGTTCAGTAGCCTCGTAATGGAGCATCTTATGCTGCGATAACGCTTCCGGGAGGGTAGAAGCTGAAAGAAGCAGTTCAGGGGATGTGTGAGGTCCTTCACAATGTTCAGAGCCCTGCCTCTGCAGTGGCTCAGGAACAGATCCTGGACAGAGGGCAGGGAGATTCCCATATCCCTTTCTGCTGATCTCACCACTCTCTGGAGGGCCCTTTTGTCTGTCATGTTGCAGCTGGAGAACCAAGTTGAGATTGCATAGGTCAGCACACTCTCCACTGCCCCCCTGTAGAATAAGGTCAGGATAGTGGTGTGAAGTGAGGCCTGTTTAAGCTTCCTTAGGAAGTACAGTCTCTGATGAGCTCACTTTACTAGATCCGAGGTGTTCTTTGCCCAGCTGAGGTTGTCAGAGATCTGTATGCCCAGGAACTTGATGTTCTCCACTCTTTCGACTTCACATTCATTTATGTAGAGGGGAGTGTGCTTTTTTTGGGGATTTCCAAAAGTCAACAGTCATTTCCTTGGACTTGTCCACATTGAGCTCCAGATTATTTGCTCTGCACCAGCTCTCAAACAGCTTGACCTCCTCTCTGTAACTGGATGAATCATTCCTGTGAATCAGACCCACAACTGTGGTGTCATCAGCAAATTTGACGATCAGATTGTTCTTATGTCTTGGCACACAGTTGTGGGTCAACAGAGTATAAAGCAGTGGGCTGAGCACACATCCCTGGGGGGCACCTGTGCTCAGCGTGATGGATTTGGAGGTCTTATTTCCAACACGAACTAAAAGCAGAACTAAAATGGACATAGAAAATCCTAGCATAAGAGTTCCTCTGCTTCAAGTGGGTGAGTACTGTGTGCAAGGTGAGGGATATAACATCCTCGGTGGAACGGTTTGAGCGGTAGGCAAGCTGTTGTGGATCCAGTGGAGCAGGTAAGCTGGATGTGATGAGTGGTTTGACTAACCGTTAAAAACATTTCATGACTGTAGAGGTCAGTGCTACAGGACGATAGTCATTTAGACAAGACACAACAGACTTCTTAGCCACAGGAACAATGACAGTCGTCTTGAAGCAGGATGGAACCTTGGACTGACAGAGAGAGATGTTAAAAATGTCTGTCTGGACATCCGCCTGCTCATCTGCACTTTCTTTAAGCGTCCGCCCCGGGATGCTGTCTGGGCCGTCCGCTTTCCTTGGGTTAACCCCTGCCAAGACATTCCTGGTGTTTGTTCAGCTGATGACCTCTGGGGGCCGACCAAGTGGGGGGAGGGATCTACTCTCCCCTCCTGGTGCTTCCCCCCTTTCTTCAAATCGGGCAAAGAACTTGTTGAGTCTGTCTGGGAGAGAAGCATCGCTGTCCTCAATTCCCTGCCTGTTCTTATACTATCAGTTGTTGATCCCCTTCCACATTTGCCTGGTGTTCCCTGTGCTGCAGACATTCTCCTGGCGTGCCATCTCTTTGCTGCCCTAATACCTGTAGAGAGCTCTGTTCTAGCTGAGCGAAGAGAAGCCTTGTCCCCTCCTCTAAAGGCAGTGTCTCTGGCCTGTAGCAACTGACGGACCTCTGCAGTCACCCAAGGTTTTTGGTTGTTTATGTTTATTTATTTAGCATATGCTTTTTATCCAAAGCGACTTACAATTTATAACCTATAGGGCATGTTGTGATCTGTGGGGGAAACCGGAGTACCCGGAGGAAACCCACGCATGCATGGGGAGAACACGCAACTCCACGCAGAAAGGCTGCAGCCGAGTTTCGAACCTGCAACCTTCGTGCTGCGAGGCAACAGTGCTAACCACTGCGCCACCATGCAGCCATGGTTGTTCTGTACTGTATGTGTTTTTAATACAGCAATGTCCCCTGTGCACTTTGCAATGTAGCTCATCACCGTTTCTGCATATTCCTCGATATTAGTGGGGTGCCCACCCTTGGATGCTGCTGTTTTATAAATCCCCCAATCAGTGCAACTAAAACAGTCCTGCAGCGCTCAGGCGGCCCCCTCGGGCCACACTCTGGTGTGTATCTGGGTTGCCCTGGCCCTCCTCAGCTTGAGTTTATATGCTGAAACAAGCAACACAGATTTATGATCTGACAGGCCGAGATGGGGTTGAACATTCTGCTGTGGTGCAGGTAAAACCAGGTGGCCGTAACCAGATGTAGGTTGGCTGGGCAAACTCCCACGAGCCCTCAAGGACCACGTTTCCCACGGCCAGGACGAAAACCTCATCGCTCCTCCTGGATCTCATGTCATTTACCCATGTCCAATTTGGACACACGCACGCACGCACGCACGCACGCACACACACACACACACACACACACACACACACACACACTGGGACGTTTGAAGCTCCTAACAACATTTAATAGACTCAAAGATTCGTGTCCGGATGTAACTAAATGCCGTTCCTCCTCCTGTAAGGCTACGGCTCCGAGGCTGTGGAACGCTCCTCCTCTCTCTCTCTTTGTTGTGTTGATTCCTTTTGTGTGTTTAAAGGTTTTTTTAACTTTGCTTTTCAAAATTCCTTTGACCTGATTTTATTTCTTGCCTTTTTTCATTGTGTGTTAGTTGTGATGTATTTGACTCTGGTTTATTTTAGCACTTTGACTTTTATCTGGGAAAGAAGAATAAATGTGACGTACTTTTGTCCGGGCGGGCGGCGATATTTTACGTTTTTGGTTCCAACTGAAATCTGTGTTGTTGGAGGAGTCAGACCAGTGGATTAACTGCAGTGGTTAATTATCAAACCAGTTGCAGAACCTGTCTGATTCTGGTCCAAATGCAGATCAGAACCATCTAGTGGACAGGTTGGAGAAAGCTGCTGTGTCAATCCCGTGAGGAGATGGGTGGTTCTGAAAACCGGACGGTTCTTTGTCCTCCACAGAAGACTACGCCATCCTTCATCCTCTGAGATCTAACTTTGGACCGAGCCACTGCTCAGAGATCATCAGAACCGGTCCCCATACTGGAGCTCCACTGGTACCGGCTCATCTCACGGCTTTTATGGTTCTTCTCTGCAGGTTCTGGAGGATGACATGCGGGATCAAGGTCGAGGCATCCATGTGATTGTCCTCAACCAGGCTACGGTGAGAAGCTTCAGTTTTGTGGATGGGTCAGAGGTGCTGATGTTTCCGATCAGAACCCAGCTGAAGGCTTTGAACTTCTCTCTCTCAGGGTCATGTGATGGCCAAGAGGATCTTCGACACCTACTCCCCCCACGAAGACGAAGCTATGATCCTCTTCCTCAACATGGTGACTCAGGGCCGGATCCTCATCTTCACCATAAAGGTGTGGTCCGTGGTTTTTGTGGTTCTGGCGGGTCTTGGCCCGTTATGAACAGTAGAAATGATTTAAAGGGGCTGTATTGTAGAAAATCCACTTTTTACCATGTGACATTATTTCCTCATGAAAAACACCCCAAACCAGTTTGTGCTGATGTTTCCAACCCTTTACTGGTAAGCTGTTTAAAGTCTCAGGACTAATCGGTGGTTTAACTTGGGGATGTTCCGACTGATCGGCTGATTTCCGTGAAAAACATGTGCTCATCCGATTTCCGATCTACTCCTTTTAGAGCCGATAAACCAGCCGATCACACACTCAGACCCTGTGTGTAGGTGCAGCATCACATCTCCCTCACCTGCACGCGCGCAGCAGCAAAAGTCTTACTCCATCTGTGAGTGATGTAAACATGCGGGGGAGGCGCGGCAAAATGCACGGTGGCTTTAATCGGACTATGGAAGACAAACTGCTTGGAGAGAGTTTTTGTTACTAACCTGCAGAAATAAAAAGGCAGTCGGAGCAGTTAGATGCAGCTGCACGAACCAACATGCGTCTGCATGAGCGTGTCAGGGACTCGCATACACCAGCCAGGAGAGAGCTGATGCTTAAACCAGCCAGGAAAGAGCTGATGCATAAACCAGCCAGGAGAGAGCTGATGCTTAAACTAGCCAGGAGAGAGCTGATGCATGCACCAGCCAGGAGAGAGCTGATGCATGCACCAGCCAGGAGAGAGCTGATGCATGCACCCGCCAGGAAAGAGCTGATGCATAAACCAGCCAGGAGAGAGCTGATGCTTAAACCAGCCAGGAGAGAGCTGATGCATAAACCAGCCAGGAGAGAGCTGATGCATGCACCAGCCAGGAGAGAGCTGATGCATGCACCAGCCAGGAGAGAGCTGATGCATAAACCAGCCAGGAGAGAGCTGATGCTTAAACCAGCCAGGAGAGAGCTGATGCTTAAACTAGCCAGGAGAGAGCTGATGCATAAACCAGCCAGGAGAGAGCTGATGCATGCACCAGCCAGGAGAGAGCTGATGCATGCACCAGCCAGGAGAGAGCTGATGCATAAACCAGCCAGGAGAGAGCTGATGCATGCACCAGCCAGGAGAGAGCTGATGCATGCACCAGCCAGGAGAGAGCTGATGCATAAACCAGCCAGGAGAGAGCTGATGCTTAAACCAGCCAGGAGAGAGCTGATGCTTAAACCAGCCAGGAGAGAGCTGATGCATAAACCAGCCAGGAGAGAGCTGATGCATAAACCAGCCAGGAGAGAGCTGATGCTTAAACCAGCCAGGAGAGAGCTGATGCATAAACCAGCCAGGAGAGAGCTGATGCATGCACCCGCCAGGGGAGAGCTGATGCTTAAACCAGCCAGGGGAGAGCTGATGCTTAAACCAGCCAGGAGAGAGCTGATGCATAAACCAGCCAGGAGAGAGCTGATGCATGCACCAGCCAGGAGAGAGCTGATGCATGCACCCGCCAGGGGAGAGCTGATGCTTAAACCAGCCAGGGGAGAGCTGATGCTTAAACCAGCCAGGAGAGAGCTGGTGCATGCACCAGCCAGGAGAGAGCTGATGCATAAACCAGCCAGGGGAGAGCTGATGCTTAAACCAGCCAGGGGAGAGCTGATGCTTAAACCAGCCAGGAGAGAGCTGATGCATGCACCAGCCAGGAGAGAGCTGATGCTTAAACCAGCCAGGAGAGAGCTGATGCATGCACCAGCCAGGAGAGAGCTGATGCATAAACCAGCCAGGAGAGAGCTGATGCTTAAACCAGCCAGGGGAGAGCTGATGCCTAAACCAGCCAGGAGAGAGCTGATGCTTTGCTTGACGTCTTAATTTATAACTTTTTTTTCTGTTCTTAAAAGAGGGTTCCAGCCAGTACTAGAAATGACGTAACAAAGGAACCCAAAGTCAGGACCTGACTACAGACGTGTACACAAAAACCTCTACAGACACAACCGGATCAACTTAAATAGTGGCTGGTCAGACCACTGCCAACACACCAGGGTGGGGAGACTTCAGTTAACAAAGAACATAAACTTCCCCTAACAATTCATACGAATCAGTCCATTCTGTTTGAGTTACCTACAGTGAATACATATTCCTATCAGAACCCAACTATTTACAAAAGAGAATAACTACATACACAAACACAGGAATCTTCTCCCTTGAGAGTTGGTATGACCCAATGGTGCTGATTAGACCAAGTGGTCTGCTACAGCTGCTCCATCTCCAAGGCCACTGGCAACTCAAAGAAAAACATATTAAACAATCTTATAAACCCCTACAGACTAAAACAGGAGTACACTTTGCTTCCCTTCCCACTGCTGTAATATACAACTGTGTAAGGATTTAATTTACATCTATTTAATGAACCATGAGACATGAGATTCCATAGGAAATATGGAATCCACCTGATGGATCTGTAGGTACTGTTTAACCAGAAGATTGGACCTTTTTATTGCAGGGATTATGTAACACGTCGTTTTCACTCAGAGACAACAGAAGAGAGTCAAGTTGTAAAAGTTTAAAGATTTATTACTAAACATATTAAACTAGACTAACTTGAACACTAAATGTATGGTGTAACAGGTGAAGTGAGACGGAGAATGGTGTAGTGTGGAATGTTGTTCAGAACCAGCAAATCCGGAGAAACGGTTAGTTCTGGTGGGAGTGAAGGTGATGTCTTCACGCTAAGCTTTCATTTGGAGATTCATAAACACATAAGACGCCATTCTGCCGGCCTTCGTACCCTTTCAGTAGTCCCCGTTAAATCAGGAATGTCGAGGTCCAGCTTGACCCTCTCTGGAACCGATGCCGGTAGGAAAAGCAGCGGTTGCCGACGAGACCAGTCTTGAGATATTTCCGGGTACAAAGACAGGCTGTCCAAAATAACTCCTATTTAATATAAAATGACGTATCAAAACGGTAAGACCATCAGGTCCTGTGTCTACCTTTTGGCCACTTTAAACTTAGCCACCGGTAGAGAGTTAGGCCCCACTGGCCAATTACATAATGTTGTCCAGCTGCGTCAACTTGGGACGAAATCAGCCGAGCGGGTGGAGGAGGAAGTACTCGTAAAGATGGCGGGTTAGCGTTGGTTATACCTGCCTGGTAAGAACCTTTGTCGCTTCGTGGTCAGCCCTGCTGATCTGAGTTCAGCTCAACAGAAAGCAGAGAAAACGGATGAACCTCCAACCTGATCTTACTGTTGTCAACAAAACACTCTTCAGGTCTTCAGTACTGGAGCTTCTACGAGTGAACGGAAACATCAGAAATGAATCGGTGATCAGTGAGAAATTCTGTTTTTACGTTTCTCACTTCAGTTTAAACTGTTTATAATTTAGTGTTTTCTTCACATTTAGCGTGTATTTGATTTAAAATGCCTTCAAACTGATTGATTTTAGGTGAATTTTTGTGTCGCGTTGTTCAGAAAAAGAATCAAAACATAAAAAATATTTGAAAGGTTGTGTAACTTTCAAAATGAGGTTTGAACATTAAATGCTTTTTAAATGATGTTCTTTAATTTTTACAAGTGTTTGTTGACCTTTTGAGGTAAACAGAAGAGAAGAAAACATCAGATCTTAGGCCACACGGCCCATTTCTGGTCTGGGCTGTGTTTGGATCAGGTGATGATGGGGCGGGTCTCTGTCCTACAGGATGAAGGAACGTTCCACCTGAAGGACGCAGCCAAGAACCTGCTGAAGACTCTGGGCAGTCAGATGTCCCTGGGCCTCAGCTGGAGGGACATGTGGACCCTAGTGGTGAAGAAAGGAGGTCTGACGGTTCCCAAGCATCAGCTGATGATCTGGTTCTGGTCTTGGGTTCTGATCAATGTTCTTGTTTTTGTTCAGGTCTGGTTTATGGAGAGAAAGGCTCAAAGTCTCCAGCTCTGTCCACCTGGGGTGACCCAGTTCTGCTAAAGACTGAGGTCCAGCTAACTGCAGCTGAAGGTATGGTTCTGCTTGCACACATCGAGAACCGGGTTTGGGTCGGGAGGAATGTTCTTTGCTCTTCCTGCATTTGTCCCAAAGTGGCTTTAGATTGATGGGATCTCTGCAGACGTTTCTAGTTCTGGTGTCTCAGGTCTGTACCTCCAACAGAACCAGGAGTTTTAAGTGAGTTGGTACACACTTTTACCTCACAACATGCTAGGACTTTTGCTATCGTACGGGGCGTACCGGCAGTTTATCTGGTCTTCTGTCCTTCATAATCTCCGAAATCAATGAAAACAATCTCTGTCTTCATGTAAACAGCAGCTGTCCACAGTCCATCTCGGCTGGTAGGCCAGAGCTGTGGCAAGACTTCAGTGTGCCCGCTCATGTTTATGTTTATTCACTTAGCTGATGTTTTTATCCAAAGCGACGTACAGTTTATAACCTATAGGGCATGTTGTGATCAGTGGGGGAAACCGGAGTACCCGGAGGAAACCCACGCATGCATGGGGAGAACACGCAACTCCACGCAGAAAGGCCGCAGCCGAGTTTTGAACCTGCAACCTTCGTGCTGCGAGGCAACAGTGCTAACCACTGCGCCACCATGCAGCTTAGTGTGGGGCCTGCTATAGAGTCTCTGATGCAACAACTAGGGATGAGCCGTATACTCGTTTCAGACGAGTATCCGGTACGGATAAAGCATTTTTGACGAGTACGAGCATGAAACGAGTAAAACTCGTAAACAGGGTCCGAAATAAAATGTTTGACTCACCGGCCAAGTTGGCTGGTAGATGATGAAAATCCACCGGCCAAGCATATCTTTTACCGGCCAAAATCCTAAATGATTTAGATCGACCTAAAGCATGTAATTCTATATTATGTTGATTCCAGACAGAGTGACAAAATGATTAAAACATCAATTAATAAGAAAAACTGTTTTGTCATTTTACTGATTATTTATTTTTTAGAGATGTTTTTGTGAACTCTTTAATTGAAATCTAGTCAGACTCCGTGCTTTCTCTGACAGCCATTAGCGCCGAGACCGTGGGCGTCACCAGTAGAGACTCGGATTGAGGCCGGGACATGGATGTGCAGGCAGCATGGCATTTGCTGTTTTCATGTTCTCGAACAGTCTCAAGCTTCATTTCTTATCTCCTATGACACACGAGTTGTTACAGTTCTTCTCTCGAGCGTGCTGGCGGCAGACGGTGCAGCTCATTAGCGCAGATTCTGGTTCATGATGTAGCCATTGTCTCACGACTCCGCCGTCTCCAGTTCGCCACTTTTCACAAAATCTTCTGGTCGCCACTGGTCCTGGTGGTTTTTCTTCCAGTTCGACGAGTTTTCCTTTGGAAGGCTGGCTGACTCCAGTTAAAAACCGCCACATTTCACCGCTAGTTTTAACACGAAGCTAACTGCTAACTTGATAAACTGATTGAATGGGATAGGTGGAAATGACGTTGGATGCGGCGTTCACGTTTCGCGTACGTTTGTGTACGTTGCATGCAGGCGGGAGGAGGATCAGACATCCATGGAAGATGACTGATGAACATAACTCATTTGGTGCAAACATTTACTCGCCAGGTGGCAGATAGAGCTCAAAAATGTACTCGCCAAATGGAGCAATTTGCTCGCATTTGGCGAGTGGCGAGTGTTAATTTCAGACCCTGCTCGTGAATATCTGTAATCGTGCTGAAGGAAAATCCTCATTGGGTAACAGACTGCCTTCACGCTCTGTGATTGGCCAGTCACATAGAGCGCCCGCCCCTCCCTACACACAAAAACTCTGCAGCCGGAAGCTCAGTCTCCACATGCGCGCGCGCACACACACACACACACACACGCACGCACACACACACACACACACACACACACACAGACAGTAACGGATCTCTCTGTGCTTGCCTCACTGTCGCTCACGTTTCTTCGGTACTCCCTGGGTTTTCTTCAGCTCGCCTCTTTTTCGGTTGAATATTTAAAGTTACTTTTTTTCGTAACGTGTGGTGCGTTTGACAAGAGAGAGCTGAAAACGGCTCGTGCTGCGTCGGGCACTGCCTCCGCTCGGGTCAGGTTTCTCTCTCTCTCTCTCTCTCTCTCTCTCTCTCTCTGTGTGTGTATGTATTAATTCATGCACTTAAACATTAATGTTCTGATTTTATTGAAAAACTTGTTCTGTAATGGTTCCTTTACTATTGTGATCAAAAATATTTAATCTCAGTTCTGAGGCTGCTCTGTAAATAGTTTTCAAGTAAAGAATACACATAGCAACTTCTGATTAATCCATATCAATTTCAGACTTAAAACTAGATAAATTGCATTTCTTGCAGAAATGCTGTTGGAATGCTGGATAGCTTAAACTGTTAGCTGCATCAGCTTAATAGCTGAAGTGAAGCTGACACTAAGCTAAATTGGCAAATGAGCTGGCATACAGCCCCGTTCATGGACTCCTGAGCGGACTGGAAGGGCCTTAGGCTCCATATAAAAGTCTTAATTCTGGTCTCACGGGAAGAGCTTTAACTCTGAAAGAGCCTCAGGTGTGGGTGCTTATGTTCCGCAGAAGCCGAGTGCCACTGGGCCGACACGGAGCTGAACCGCAGGAGGAAGCTCTTCTGCAGCAAAGTGGAAGGATATGGAAGCATCTGCAGCTGTAAAGACCCGGCGCCCATCGAGTTCAGCCCAGATCCGGTAAGACCCACCGCTCTTCATGTTGGGGCTTCTGGCTGTGTTCTGGTACCACAACCCATTTTAACCCCCTGGCGGGTCGGACAACCCGAGGAGAACCGATGTAATCTGGGAAATTAGTTTGATGGAACCAGATTACAGCCACAACCCAGATCCTTTCATCTAGAAGGATGTTTCACCACAGGAAGTTCAAAGATTCAGAACCACAAAAGTTCTCTTCTCATCGCTCTTGTTGCTCCTTGCAGCTTCCCAGCAGCAATGTGTTTAATGTTCCGGTTGCCGTCATCGCAGGAAACCGACCCAACTACCTGTACAGGTGAGACCAGAACATGACGGTTGGTCATGTGACTAAAACATAAAGACAGAAGATGCTGACCTGTTGGGGTTTCCCCAGGATGCTGCGCTCGCTGCTGTCGGCCCACGGCGTCAACCCGCTGATGGTCACCGTGTTCATTGATGGATACTATGAGGTACCGGTTCTGTTCACCCCAGCCTGGTCCAAACGACCTGATCAGTTCCAGGATGGTGCTGGATCAGATGCAGGATGGACCTGGTTGTGGTTCTGAACTGACCCGTGTCTGGTTCTGGTTGTGTTTCGTTTGTGTCTCATGTAGCGAGCTGTCAGACCCGTTTTGTTCCTCTGATCCAGGAGCCTATGGACGTGGTGGAGCTGTTTGGACTCAAGGGGGTCCAGCACACCCCCATCAGCATCAAGAATGCCCGAGTGTCTCAGGTACCATCAGAACCCAGTCCGATCGGATCGCTGCAGGTTACCAAAGGATGTGTTGTCAGGAATAAGCCTGTGTTTGGTTCTGTTCTCAGCACTACAAGGCCAGTCTGACCGCGACCTTTAACCTTCACCCAGTAAGTCTCAGCAGGTTCCTCTGGTTCCCTTTGAGAACCACATCTGGTCTCACCTGGTTCCTGTTTTTCCAGGAGGCGAACTTCGCCATTGTTTTGGAGGAAGACCTGGATGTTTCTGTGGACTTCTTCAGGTGAGTCGAGTAGCCAATGTATTGCAAATGCAGAAAAACATCCCTTACCAGGGTTCCTAGAATAAATAGTTTAAATGTTAAATAATAGTTAACATCACTTAAATGCAACAGCACATTCTCTCATTGCTACTGAGCATTTTCTCCACTTATGTGGTTATGATATAAGGCTGTTGCTGTAACTGGGAAGTGAACTGTGCCGGGCCAAACTAGGAGAATATTAAGATTTTCTGAGAGAAAAACAATCGTCTACCTTTCAGAAGAGGAACTGGCAAAAAACTACATGGAAAATATGTGAAAACGTTTGTTTTTATCCCCAAATTGAACAAGTTTACCTAGATCTTAAAAAGCAGCTCAGATGATGAAACTGCAACTATGATTCTGATAACAAGCTAACAAACTGAACTAGCTCCTCTAAGCTAACCGGCTAGCAGAGCTTCTGACTGACAGTTTATGTGCAGCAGCAAATCAGCTATCCTGATTAACAAGGTTATAAAAGCTCTTAAAGGAAAAATCACTTTGATGTGTGGGGAACTTTTCCAGGCCCTCTTTAGCAGGGAGGGACTGGGAGGAGAGTGCTGTAGCCTTTTAGCTGGAAGCTAACCGGAGCCTGGGGCTAACACTAGCGACATGGAGGTGGGTTGGTTCACCGGCTCGTGTCGGAGTCAGCCCGGTAAAAATGATTAACGACACCGAGCGGACTCACGTTCACGTTTGAAAGCAGCGCTGAATCCAGAAACATCAGCACAAAGTGCGTTCGTTGCTCTGAGCCAGCATGACGAACAAGGGAACGACGCCGCTAACTCAGTTCAGGTGTTGCTTTCCATCCTAAGGGTCTACGTAGGGGGCGGGCGTATTACGTGAATGGACCCATCTGATTGGCCGCATATCTGAAGGACTACATTTTATTGGTCAAATAATACTTCCGCGTAAAAAACAGAGCTGGTTTATAAAAAGCTGACGTATGACACGGATGGAAATGTTAGAACCAAACATTTATCGCAGTTTTTGACGTGCTTTGCGACGGGCCTACCGCACGTCCTGTTATCGTGATAACGATAATTTTTCGATATATTGTGCAGCCCTAATGGATTTGATTCAATTTCAAGGCCTTTGGCCCAGCCTTACTTTTTCCACATGTGCACTAGGACTGGGCATTGTGGCCTAATATCAATATCACCATATATCGAGGATTTCACCTTGATAACGATAAATGGGCGATAACTACAGGTATGTGCAGAAACAACAGTTGTCCACTAGATGGGGCTGTTGCATGTATTACGTTAAATCACATTTTTACACATTTTTACGACTCATGGTGGTGCAGCTTCTTAAAGGGACACGACGCTGCCAGCCTACACACACCTTTTCACTTTTTATTATCAGATTCATTGACACAGGAAAATTATCTCGATAAGAGTCGGAAATCTCGATAACGATAAATTTCCTATTTATTGCGCAGCCCTAGTGTGTTGTGAAGAACTTTGCTTTCCTCCTTCCTCCCAGCTTCCTGAGCCAGACCATCCACCTGTTGGACCAGGATGACAGTTTGTTCTGTATCTCAGCCTGGAACGACCAGGTGAGTTCACCCGTCTGACTCGCGCACCGTAACTCCTGGTTCTGGTTTTAAGGTTCAGGAGCTTTTTCGTCCCTCTGACCAGAAATTCCCCAGAAAAACCGACTCTCTGGGTTCCAACAGGTCCTAGTCCAGGTCACTGATGTAAAACCCTCTGGACTTGGAAGTAACGACGTTAATTATAATATTTCTTTATTTTTTCTGAATACTCACATTTTCGTCACATTGAACCCTGAAAAGGAAAACCGGTTAGCAGTGGGTCTTCACATTTCCTTCCTTTTTCATGAAGAGTGGATTTTTATGGACTAAAACAAAACTAAACATCTATAAAGAAATGAAAGCATTGCTGGGGGGGGGGGGGTTCTGCTGCTCAGCTGCAGCTGAACCGAGCCAGTAGAGCGGCGCGTCTGGTTTGATCATGGTGCTGCTACAGCCGACTGGGTCAGCTGTGGGTGTTGTAGCCGTGTTTCTGTGAGGAAAATCATTCAGATGACCCACCCTAGTTAGTTAGTGCAGGTAACTAATAAACACACCTGGAAACCCATCTTACCTGTTCTTTACCTCCTCGCATCGTTTGAGTAACACCTTGTAGTGTTTGATGGTATGATGTCATTTCCTGTCATGCTTACTAATGTCACTGCTCCTTTTACAGATGAGTTTACGTTATTAATGCTGAGAGACACGATGTCAAGCCGGCAGGTTCATTTAGGGATTCCCGTTAACGTTGTTGGTGTGAAACGTGAACTTTACCGGGCAAAAGTTGACAACGGCCCAGTTCTTCCTGTTTTTATTGGAAGTGGTGCAGTTTAATGTCACGTTGCACTCTGAAATGAGAGCATGGTGCAAATAAGCAACCGGAGTTATAAACAGAGATCATGCAATCAGTTTTTAGAGCAAAATGTATTTTAAACTTTTGACTCATCGAAGTAGCCGCCTTGGTGAGCGGAGAGAGACGCTAGAGAGGGCTTGTCTTGGATCAAGGAGGCGAGGCTGTGAGACGTGGGGAAGGGACAGTGTCCACTCCCGGGTCCCCGAGAGGTCGGTGGTTTCTGAAACTAGAACGGAACCGAGTGAAGAAGAGAGCCAGGAGATGTGAGGAGAGGACGGTGTTGTTGAACTGTTGATCTGGAGCTTTTAACCTGAACCGTGAGCAGACGGAGGTTCAGCCTGGCCTCCCGTTGTTTTCTAGTGAGATGTGATGTTTACAGGAAGTGATGCAGTGTAACGGAGCGTTGTTGTTTCTCGTTCACCGTCAGGGCTACGAACACATCGCCGAGGACCCGGCGCTGCTCTACAGGGTGGAGAGCATGCCGGGTCTGGGCTGGGTTCTGAAGAAGAGCATCTACAAAGATGAGCTGGAGCCCAAATGGCCGACGCCAGAGAAGGTGAAGAACTTTTGACTGGTTTTGGATCCTCTCAGTGTTGTTGTCACTCACCTGGGTCACATGACTCAGAGTCACCAGGATCCCAGGAGTTAGAATAAATCTTGACTTGTTCCCGCCGGCCCTCACCCCTGCGTTCCCGTCATGTTGAAGACGGGAACGCCTTGCGTCTCCTGAGTTGTCGGTTGAAACCCTGAGTTGTGTTCGTGTTGCAGCTGTGGGACTGGGACATGTGGATGAGGATGCCGGAGCAGAGGAAAGGCCGAGAGTGCGTCATTCCGGACGTGTCCCGATCCTACCACTTCGGCATCATCGGACTCAACATGAACGGATATTTCCACGTAGGAACTGAAATGTTTTAGTCGTAAGTCTGGAGGCTAAGCTCTGGACGTTTACAGATGCTTGTCTCAGGTCTGCACAGACGTTCCTCCTGAGTTCCTTCCTTTGTTTTTTACAGGAAGTTTATTTCAAGAAGCACAAGTTCAACACGGTGCCCAACGTGCAGCTGAAGAACGTGGACAGGTGTGTGTTCACCTGTCTCCTGAGCTGAGTTGATGTTGCTCCTCAGCTCTCTGATGATGTCGTGTTTTACAGCTTGAAGAAAGATTCGTACGAAGTGGAGATCCAGGGGCTGCTGAAGTAGGTGGAGGGGTGTGTGTGTGTGTGTGTGTGTGTGTGTGTGTGTGTGTGTGTGTGTGTGTGTGTGTGTGTGTGTGTGTGTGTGATTATTAACTGTGTGTGTGATCAGAGTGGCAGAGGTGTTGGACCACACCAAGAACCCGTGCGAGGACTCGTTTGTTCCGGACTCGGAGGGAAAGACCTACATCATGTTCATAAAGATGGAGTCTGACTCGGACACGTCCACGTGGACGGAACTCGCCAAGGTAAACTCTGCGTGGAGTCGGGGAGGGGGGGGGGGGGGGGGGTTGTGACGCTGTCAGCAGTTCATGTGGCTCTGGGCTTGGTGTCGTCTGCAGTGCCTACATGTGTGGGATCTGGATGTTCGAGGCTACCACCGAGGCCTCTGGAGGCTCTTCAGGAAGAGGAACCACGTCCTGGTGGTGGCCGTGCCCATCTCACCGTACTCGTGAGTTACACCAACACAGCCAGATCAGAACACGAGGACACGAACAGCTGGATTTATGTGCTCAGCCCCTCAACCACCTGCTGATTGGTATCAGGTGTGGTGAAGCAGGGAAACATCTAAAACCTGCTAGATATTGGTCCTCCAGGACCAGGATGCATCATTTGGAATCCTAGGATGCCCAAGGAAGATGCCACCTGTCTCGCCTCTGATTGGCTAGAAAGCCTCTGCTGCGATTGGCTGTTTCATTCAGCAGCAGATCGGCAGTCCTTCTGCCACCGGCAGAAAGCTGTTTCTGGTAGTTCAGCTTAGAAACTTAGCGCTACGATAACCATTCTGTCCTGTTTGGAAAAACATTTTATGTTTTATGTTACATAAAAAACTCATAAAAACGTAGGATAAACATGCGTGCCTTACCTGGCGTGAGCTTTAATAAAAGCGCCCTGTTCTGCCCAGCTGTGGGCATCAGGTCTGTTTGTTTCTAGAATAATGAAAACTGGTGAAAAACGGGTCTAAATCCTGATCAGCTTGAACTTATTTTTGATTAAATGATACAGATTTAATCTGACCATGAGATATGCTCTAACTTGTAAACAGCCTTAACCTGTTAAAGCAGGGTAGCCTAATAATGAAGTAAAATGATAATCCCAATAGAGCCAGCAGATGTAACGTCAGTGTGATAAATGCAACAAGATTTATTCTGTAACCTGATGGAAGTGGTTTCTCTTACTGACTGATCAGTAATCAGAGAATCAGAGAGAATTTTATTGCCAGCGCTCCAGCGAACCAGAGCATAGGAACTTGACTCCACAGAACAGCCTGACCAAGGTTACACACACACACACATGTAGACAGAACAGATACAGGCAGACCACGAGAGCAGCCATGACGGCGCTCGTTTCAGCAGATGAAGAGGGGATTACATAAGTTCGGGGAGGGAGAAAAAGGCATTAACAGAGTTACACCCAGCTACTATGCAAAAAAACACCTCAACATATAAGCACGAACGTCACAGTTCACAACATGAGACCCGGTAGGTGGGGGGTGGGGCTGCTCCAAGGCTGCTTATGGCGTCAGACTGGATAACAGGACTTTGTTTGGGTCAGGCAGAGATAATTTTCCTCTCTGCCTTAAGTCTGTATTGATCATTCAAATCCTCCAGTGAAGCCAATTTTGTGATTAAACATCTCCACACCGTCCGGTGACCCTTTCCGAGATGTTATCAATCCTGCGCGCTAACACCGGTAACGCAGCTGAGACATTGTCCAGCTTGCGATTCACCTCGAGTAACGTCCCAGTCTGTGAGGTCTCCGCCCGGACGGTGCCGTCCATGGGTGCGGGTCGCCCTCCAATCGCTCCCGTCATCCCAATTTTTCGGAAAACCAGATATCCTCCCACTCCAATCAGAAGAAATCCAACGATCATCAGGCCAAATAGCCACACACCTTCAACGTCCTCAATGGACAGCTGAGAGAGACAGACGACATTCCACTTCCTCCAGGAATCGAGCATATATCCCGCTGCGTGTGTCCCGTGAGGGCAAGCGCGAGCCCCCTCCTCCGTTCTCATCGTAGAAAAAATCTTATCAATCACGTTGAATGACCAATTAATTAAATCCGTTTCTGAAAAACAGTGATTTCCAGAGGAAATGCAGAGAAGCGCTCTGTAGGCAGACGGGACAAAAAGAGCCTTGGGAAAGCAGATAAGGGAGCAAAGCAGAAGCGACCGTGCTCTGTGAGTGCCGGAAGAGAAGACGATAAGAAGTGATATTCTATATAAATATGAATTATCAACCTCATTGGTCTGAATATTTGATTTAATATGAACTTGGGTTGTTTGGACTGCCAGGGAAACACACACACACACACACACACACACACACACACACACAAAATAATTCAGAGTCAAGGAAACAGTGTACAAAAATGAATTTAATACTATATTCATACCTGCAAACTTGTCCCTTTTTGGTGAAAATCGCTGTTTTTGTAGCCAAATGTGACGTTCACGTGAATTGTGTAGATCTGAAGAGTTTTTTTTGGGGGGGGTCTTCTGGTTTCAGTGATGAGGCAGAGCGGCGCTCAAAATGAGGATGAGTGCTGTCGCTGTAACTTCTCGCAGTGGTTTTGAGTTTAAAGTTCATCAAATCAAACAAAATTACCACTAAATAACAGTTTTTTGTCAAGGACTTACGCAGATTTATGTTTATGTTTATGTTTATGTTTATGTTTATGTGCTTAGCAGACGCTTTTACCCAAGCGACTTACAGTTTTTTTTTTAACCTGTAGGGCATGTTGTGATCTGTGGGGGAAACCGGAGAACCCGGGGGAAACCCACGCATGCATGGGGAGAACACGCAACTCCACGCAGAAAGGCTGCAGCCGAGTTTCGAACCTGCAACCTTCGTGTTGCGAGGCAACAGTGCTAACCACTGCGCCACCATGCAGCCTGTATAGGGAGCCTAAGCCACGCCCACCTACTTCCGGACCACGGGTCCCCGGAAGAACAAAAAAGGAGCGCAAGTCAACGCGGCTAAAAACGCTATTTTCTTATTCCGCTTGTTTTGTACCAAGGATTTCACATATGATGTCTGTGAATTTTAAAACGCATTTGGATATCAAGAACGCGCTTATTTTCTAACGGGGGGACGATATTTTAGGTGTTGTGTGAAAATGAGTCCAGGACTACAAACGCGCTTCAGCAAAGTGACGTCATCGAACCAGACGCGGAGGAAACGGAGGGAGAAGGGCTGTAAGTTCAGCAAACTTCCCACAGGAGGAAAGAACCACCATTAACCTGGTCATGTGGTGAGTAGCAGCTACGCTAGGGGGAGGAGCTTATATGGTGATGTCACATATGCAACGTGCTGATTTCTGCTGTGTAGTCATGCTAATTACGAACTTTTATAAGCTGGTAAATCTCAAAGTACGTGGCTGGCGTGGTCGAAACACCATCATTAGTTTTCATTTATAAGTACTACGTGTGTGATCCAGGACGTACGGCAGAGCGGGATGGAAAATAGTGTTTTTAGCCCCGTTCAGGGACCCGGAGAGGGAGGAGACGTTCAGGGACCCGGAGAGGGAGGAGACGTTCAGGGACCCGGAGAGGGAGGAGACGTTCAGGGACCCGGAGAGGGAGGAGACGTTCAGGGACCCGGAGAGGGAGGAGACGTTCAGGGACCCGGAGAGGGAGGAGACGTTCAGGGACCCGGAGAGGGAGGAGACGTTCAGGGACCCGGAGAGGGAGGAGACGTTCAGGGACCCGGAGAGGGAGGAGACGTTCAGGGACCCGGAGAGGGAGGAGACGTTCAGGGACCCGGAGAGGGAGGAGACGTTCAGGGACCCGGAGAGGGAGGAGACGTTCAGGGACCCGGAGAGGGAGGAGACGGCGGCTCCCTGCAGATATTTCCCGTGGCTGGTCGTGTTTTATTTAGTTTAGTTGTGGAGTTGAGTTGCGAGTAAACACTACCAGTAATATTAGAATTACTAGTGTGCTACAGCCTGACTGGTTTAAAACGAACCCCAGTAACTGGGTCTGGGCACCAGAAGATGTAAGAGGAGGAACACGTGATGAGATCATTTCATAATGTTGTAACATTTCTGCTGCCTTGAAGAGCCCGGTCAGCTTTTGCCCTCAGCAGTGGTTTAAGTATTGCAGCAGGTAGCTGAGATAGATTTACCTGCAGCTGCAGCTCTCGCTACACATTTATTCATGTATTTGTCACCATTTTCACAACCTCTGAGTTTGCAGGAATGTGTATTTCTAAACTAATGATGACACACTTTGATGTTTTTCAGGTTGTTTCATCAAAGAAACTGAAACTGGTCTGTTGCTAAACAGGAAAGGATGTTTATTATAGCGATGGGCTCACATTTTCATCAAAACACTCCTCAAGATCTGGCTGTAAACATACAAATGTAGCTATTATTACATATTAATTATGTCCCTGAAGAACCCTAGAGTCTTCTGGTTAAACATTCACAGATCAATCAGGTTGATATTTCGTATTTATATGGAATCATCACATCTTATTGGTCATAGTTAATATGTAATAATTGCTACATATTACTCCCTGCAGCGGAGGGAAAGCAGTTTCCTCTTACTTGAGGTAGCCAATCGTAGGCGAGCCCTTCCAGCCAATCAGAGGCGAGAAAGGCGGGACCTCACGGGGGACATCCTAGGATGCACCAGGACTGGGAACTCCAGAAACACAGGAGGCTAATTGTTAGCATTAGCTGTGATGAAGTGAGTAAATACTCACCGTAACCATGGTAACCAGTAAAACTAGCACCTGTTGCATCCTTATACCTCCAGTCATCAGGACATCCTTCATCTGGGGCGACGGTGGCAGAGGAGTTAAGTTCCCGCCCTGTAATCGGAAGGTTGCAGGTTCCAGCTTCACTCAGTCAATCACTGCCGTTGTGTCCTTGGGCAAGACACTTACCCCCCCCCCTGTCTGCTGGTGGTGGTCGGAGGGGCCGGTGGCGCCAGTGTACGGCAGACTTGACCCTGTCGGAGCGCCCCAGGGTAGTTGTGGCTCATCACCACCAGCGTGTGAATGGGTGAATGACTGTTGTGACGCACCCCGAGGGTTGTAGAACCGTAGAGGGCGCTACACGTACGGGCCGTTCACCATTCTGTCCGTTTTTCTTTCAGTGTGAAGAAACCAGCTGCTGTCACTCCAATCCGCTTAGAACCTCCGCCCAGAGAGGAGGGGGCACCAGTGGACCCAATGTGACCATCCAACTGGTCCCTCAGAACTTCTTCAGCTGACTGATGATCTGACAGATTCAGAAACGCCGTGGTTCTGGAGTTCCTTACCACCGTGGTTCTGGAGTTCCTTACCACCGTGGTTCTGGAGTTCCGGAACGCCGTGGTTCTGGAGTTCCGGAACGCCGTGGTTCTGGGTTTTCCTGTTACTAAGCCCACTACTTCTGCTTCTGTCTGAACAGAACCCTGTCTGTGTTCCAGGGCAGGAAGCGGGATCAGAAACTTCCTCACTCAGTTCACCAGGATAACAACGTCTACTGGAGTTGATTCAAACTTTAATCACACAAGAAGTCAAACAAACTCCACTTCCTGTCATAACAAGTGGAGAACTTTGATTCTAAATAAAGATCTAAACTTTAGCTCGTGTTCAAATGTTGTGAGCTGCCGACTGAATGAAGAAAGGAAGTTTAGGTCCAAAGGACCGGGATCCACAACTCGTGGATCGTTGGATAATCCTGGATAATCCCGGACTCTTTGTGAGAAAAGGAGGAAAAGCTTAATTTTAGAAAAGAGCCGTCTGAAACATTTCTGCCTTTACCAGATGCACCTAAACGCACCACCAAGCCTCCGTCCCGTTTCAGCCTGTCAGCTTTTTCATCCTAACTTTGTTTTACTGTGTTGAAGCTTTCGGACAGTCGGACATTTTAAAGTTGGGCCTACCTGTAGGTAGCTTCCTGAACAGCCTCCGTTTACAAAAATAGAGTTTATGTCCTTCAGAAGTTATCGCTAGCTGCTATTCTCGAGGAGCGGTTATCAGAGGTGGCGGCTACTCCCTCCTGTCAGCGAGACTAAACTAATGGCTAGCTTCATTTGGCTAGTCTGAGCTAACAGTAGGTCTGAGCTAAGGGCTAGTTTACAGCTGACTTACACCACCATCAGTTTCATTGGTGGTTTGTTGGCCCAAGCTAATTAGTCGTTAGCTCAGACTAGCCATTAGCTTATCAGTCCTGTAGGATGTATACCCCATTTCTCCTAACCGAGGCTGTTGAGGAAGCTGTAGGTGAGATAGATTTATTCATAACCTGTACAAAGAAACCATCTGAAGGGCTTGAGCTAAGCCCCCCCATTCCCTAACCCTCCAGCTGCGTTTGTGAAGAAGTCCGGATCCGTTTAGTCGCGGCAGCAGCTAGCACCTCAAACCAAGAGCAGCTCTGTATGTCAGATATTTATTTTAGGAGTCATCCCTGTTTTGTTTTACCTGAGAGTGACGTCACCTAGTGGGACTTGAACCTTTCATCTCCATCCAGACCATGTGATCCGTTTCAGTGATAAAGGGTTCCTATTTGAAACGCCATTTTCAGACCAAACACGAGGATTTAGAATAATCTGAGGTAAGAACAGCAAAGATAAATACAACCATACGAGAAGTCGTCCTACCAAGCTGAGTTTGGGACTACGTGTGTGCGGGTCGGCCCGCGAGCCGCTCCGCTGCCATCTGAAAGGCCAGGTTCCTAAAATCACAGCCTGAACAACGAGGCACGGCTTTTAAAGTCGACGGCATGCCATCCCTTCTGTCTGTAATAACCAGACTTTGTATTTTGTGGAAGTAAAATAAAAATCTGACTATTGCACAAATCATTCGGCAGATTCATTAAAGGGAGACTAGGCAGTTTGGGCTTAAGCCGTCTCCTCGCGGTGCCTTTTAAACACCTTAATCTAACAGCCTTCTTTGCTTCCTACAGGCGTGATTCATCACTAAATTAAACCAATCAGCTGTGTTCACAGTCTAAAACCTACAGGAAGCCCAGTTTATGGTTCTGCGTTGGTACAGAGATGCAACACCGTAGAGCGGCGGAAGCATCTGATATTCTGGCCACAGGCCGTTTGGGCTGGGTGGCGTTCCGCTAATCCTGTAACGGGTTGTTTTAGCACATACTGCCTCAGGAAAATGACGTTAAAATGTGAAAAAGTTGCAGTCTCATTAAAACTAACAATATTTAGTGGAAGACGTGTACAGAGGTTTGAGAAGAGCTTTCAGCCGTCAGGGTTTATTTTAGAATGAAGTCCAGTTTTTATCCGTGATTCCGGGTTTAGGGTTCTGTAAGTCCAGATGCTTAAACATCTCTGTTCTGGTTCCCAGAACCAACCCACTCTGTGTTTCTGTTCTGTTTGCGGTGAGTTAACCATGGTTGTTGGGTTCTTACTGACGATCTGGACAAACTGTGTGAAGTTACTTGTTTTTATTCTCTGAGTTGAACGTTTTACTGATTAAAACTTCATCCCTGGAGACCTGGTGGTGTTTGGGGTGGGGGTGTAAATCTTCTGGGTTTGGTGGCCTCTGTGGCAAACAGAATCTTTCTGGTCTTTGGACTTACGGGCGTTTTTAGTTCTGCGAGCCATCCTGTGGATGCAGTGGTGGGCAGTCAGGGCCAGCAAAGCCTTCTCTGCTGGCCTAAACGTACTCAAAAACGTAAATGTATTTTTTTCCTTTGGTAAATCGTCTTCGTCTTCCTCCGCTTATCCGGGTCCGGAACGCGGGGGCAGCATCCCAACTAGGGAGCTCCAGGCCGTCCTCTCCCCGGCCTTGTCCACCAGCTCCTCCGGCAGGACCCCAAGGCGTTCCCGGACCAGATTGGAGATGTAACCTCTCCAACGTGTCCTGGGTCGACCCGGGGGCCTTCTGCCGGCAGGACATGCCCGAAACACCTCCCCGGGGAGGCGTCCAGGAGGCATCCTGACCAGATGCCCAAACCACCTCAACTGGCTCCTTTCGATCCGGAGGAGCAGCGGTTCTACTCCGAGTCCCTCCCGAATGTCCGAGCTCCTCACCCTATCTCTAAGGCTGAGCCCGGCCACCCTACGGAGGAAACTCATTTCGGCCGCTTGTATCCGTGATCTCGTTCTTTCGGTCATTACCCAAAGCTCATGACCATAGGTGAGGATTGGGACGTAGATCGACCGGTAAATCGAGAGCCTGGCTTTCTGGCTCAGCTCCCTCTTCCCCACGACAGATCGGCTCAGCGTCCGCATCACTGCAGACGCCGAACCAATCCGCCTGTCGATCTCCCGATCCCTCCTACCCTCACTCGTGAACAAGTCCCCGAGACACTTAAACTCCTCCACTTGAGGTAGGACCTCTCCCCCGACCCGGAGGGTAGGTTCACGGCCGAATGTGAAGCGGCTGGGATGAGGATCAGCACCTCCAAATCTGAGACCATGGTTCTCGACCGGAAAAGGGTGGCTTGCCTTTGGTAAATATAAAAAAAAATGTTTACTGGTCTATTTTCTTTATATCCTATTATACCCACTTGGCTGTGCTGCTTCCAGTGTTAAAATACCAAGGCTGGGTGTTATCCAATCAGATTTAAGCTAGCTTGTGTTTTCAGGCAGATTAGTCTGCTCTAGGCCTTCAGAATCAATCGAGAAGCCCGCTGTCCGCTGTAAGTGAACAGAGACGGTCTAGTTGCGATAGCCAATCAGCTCACGAGTCAGCTTGGCCCGGGCCAGCTAGCTGGCCTCACGCAAAAGTTGACATGAACGCATCCTGTGATTGGATGAGCAGTAGTTAGAACTTTTCTAGCGGCATGAAGCAAAATATCAAAACTAAACACGGAGATTTGTACCTATAGGCAGCTATCGGTGTATTTTTGAACACATGATGGCTGAAAGAGGAGAAGAGACAGACTTGGATGCAGATTTACTTGCCACACCATTTTCCAGACGGACCTTTCAAGAAAAAATGGATCTTGTGAGAACAGGTCGTCCGACTCCAACGCTAGCTGGCTTGTCCCAGCAGGGGAAAGGATTTGTTCGTCATTTTCAGGCAAGCAACTATGAACGGTACCCACGGCTAAAAGCTTCAGAGAACCGCTGCAGGTTATTCTGCTGGGAATGCCTGTTGCTCGCATCAGATGGATTTGGTAGCATTAAAGCGCGTTAAAACGTACGCCAGAAACACGACCGGACAGACACGGCTTTCAGCCTCCATGTCCATAGAAAAGGACCTACTCATGGACCTGAAGCACACGGATGAACTGTACAGAGCCACTGAGGTTTTCCTGAGGAAAGAAAGAAGGATGGATTTTATTTTCTAATGAGCAGGAGAGGAGGAGATCCATGCTGGACATTTATGTTGGTGAGTAGAAACATTTTATTAGTATTTTTTAATGTTTTGTCATTTTATTTTGTTAATAATAAATGGTAACGAAGTAAAATGGCAAAATGAAATAATTCGATGTGTTCTGTTTCTATGCAATTTATATTGTGTATGACGTGGTGTGTGCAGCTGCGCCAACATGTTCAATTGTTTCGCGGTACAATTTTCTCCAAAACAAATGCAAATAATGTGTTTGCTTTACTTATTTATTTTATTGTCTCATCTCTTAAACCCATCTTTCATTTTTGAGATTTGACGTATCCGTGGTCTTAGTTTCCTACTCTCAAAAGGGAATTCGAGTTTGATTTTAAAGGCTCAGGAAATTACGTGTCTTGCCCAGCCACTGGTGTGTGTGTGTGTGTGTGTGTGTGTGTGTGTGTGTGTGTGTGTGTGTGTGTGTGTGTGTGTGTGTGTGTGTGTGTGTGTGTGTCAGGCGTGCTGGAGTGTGAAGCGGAGGTGAGGATCCACACGCAGGTGTAGAAGGTAGGCAATCAGAACGATTAAAGGGTTTAATGGAGAACACGCTAACAACAATGATCCAACACGAGACACTGGGGCTGGGAGCATCGGGGGGGGGGTACTGTATACAAATATATATATATATATATATATATATATATATATATATATATATATATATATATATATATATATATAAATAAACATGAATGAATCAACATCATTGTTTATTCTGGAAATAATGTTTTATTTCAGATCTTAACACCAAACAAGTCTACTTGTTGAATTTAATAATGATTTCTTATCAGTATTTCACATTTTAATATTTCTATATAGATAAATGACTGTTTAACAGATTTACGTCACATTAAGTGGAGTGAGTAAGTGTTTGAGGAAGGAGTGGTGCTGAGGTCTCTTGGTAAACGCCCATTTTAAACTTGGTAGATTCTGATTTGTCTGAATCTACAAACAACAGTTCATGAAAGGAAAAACTCTTCCTCTGAAAGTTTAGTTGCAACGAAGTGAACAGTTAGGCCAAGTTGTTTCAGCGAGTAAAGGACCATCCTTCAAGGTCAAACCTTCTTTTCTAAACTGCAAAACTCCATCAGAGAAAACTCATCAGACGTGCAACGCCTCGCCAGCACACCGGGATGTATCTTATCGGCCAGCCGTGCAAATTCAACGGAAGCTACGACCTTTGACATTCCAGAAGTCAACTCCTCTTGGCAGCTGGACCTACGGAGAACTCCCTTCAGGGTAATCGTAGTCTCTCACTTGGTGCCAGGATAGTTTTATTATTAAACCTCATTCAGCTAAACTCACTTTACAGCCCAGACATCCGTTTTTAAGACACTTAATTAGGTTTATTTTCACATAACATCTGAGCTCATATTTCACCTTAACTCATCATTAATAATCATTTGTTCTGCATCATCATTAGTAATAGAAATATAGTAATAATTAGAGTTTTATAAACTATATTTTTGCCTCTGTGTCAAATTATTATTGTTTCCCTGGCGTACCCAAAGTACCTAGTTTCATCAGCAATCAAATATTAAAGGCTCAAAAATATTGATGACCCATATTCATATGGGATATTACATTCTATTGAATACTTTTATGTTTTGTTGACTGTTTGTTAAAAGTAACCACCTACAGAAGTTACAGCAGCGGAGCACGAGCTCACGTCCACGGCCCGAGCACCCGGCTTCGGTCGCAGCGGTCTGAGGCTGAGCCTGTAGAACCGTCAGTATTAGCTCCTAGCTCTGTTAGCTCATTGCTACATTGGTTCAGAGTTTTTGGGTGCCAATCATTTGCTGCCACCCTCCGAGCCTCACTCTCAACTCCCCTTCTTTTCTGGGTGTGACGAGACGTGTGACACGACCAGGGTGGTGGAGGTGGGAGCTGCCCCTTTGGCTTCATTTAGACCTGAAGGGAGAAATGGTGCCAAGTCCAGTACAGTATATTAGGGATGTAAGAAAATGTCGATTACGGCAATATATCGTGATATTTTCCCCAGCGATATTATATCGATATTCATAAGCCGTGTATCAAAAATATCGATATCGCAATATATTGTGATATATTTTCTTGCAAAAATGTATCGATATTATATAAAAGTCGTGTATCTAATTTTTGGAAGAATTGACATGGAAACATTTGTGTATTTTCGTTTCTTGTGATGCAATTCAAACGCCGACCACTAGTTGGCAGCAGTGTGTAATGGGTTTTGTTTCTACCATTGAAATGTAAATCCCTCTGTTACGGTTAAACATGTTAAGTATCAGTTTGGACTGTTTATTGAATTTTCCTATAATAAATTTAGTCTAAAAAAATCGCCAATATCGTCTGACTGAATGTATCGCAATATATCGTGATATATTGTATCGTCTCCCCTGTATCGTAATATGTATTGTATCGCCAGAATTTCACCAATACACATCCCTACAGTACATATGTCTATGTGCTCCACTAGCATCGATGGGTGAGGGGCCTTCTGTGCTAGTAGATGGACCAGAGACGTGACTGCAGTGGTGACATAACACCTCAGAGATGCAGCACGCCCTCTGCTGTCCTGGTGGCTAATTGGTGCAACACTCCACAGGCAACGGAGAAATCTGAAGGGAAACGACTCTGTCGCCGTCTGCGTGACTCGTGCTGATGGAGACGTGAAAGCTAGGCTTTAGGGGGTGCTGCAGTAGTCCAGGCAGAGATGGGACTGGAGGTGGGGGTTGTTGTTCCAGAACCACAACTCTAAAAGCAGCATAAATATGCTGAAGTTCATCCTGATGAATCAAAATGACGAGTGATCCTACCTCCTCCCCTGACCTCCTCTCTCATTATCAGTTAGATCTTCTGCAACAGGAGCGTAACTCAGCCCATCCGTCGCCCGGCTGGAAGTGTTTTATAGGAATGCGATTCATTTTACGACGACCCGCATGAAGGAAGCAGAGGATTCAGTCGTCTCTATGGAACGACTCGCAGCGTCACAGCGACACTTCCTGTGTCTAAAAACATACTTTAGGTGTGTGTGTGTGTGTGTGTGTGTGTGTGTGTGTGTGTGTGTTTCCTCCTTTTCATAAAGTGTCATCGTCTCGTTTTCTGAACAGCAGCGCCGGCCGGACCTGAGATTACAGATTACAGTCTGGGCCAGGACTGCAGTCAAACACACG